ACCAACTCGTCCGTTCTTGCTGGTCTTCGCACCATCGGAGTGACCATCATCTACACGAACTCCCAGCCCTGGAAGCTGACTAGCAGCGGCAACATCACTGTTTCCTCATTTGGTGTCACCCTTCGTGTCGATCAAACACCGAGCGGCCGCAAGTTCTCTGGCATGGTCAGCGGTGGCATCACTGTCAATCAGTTTACGTTTGGCGTTCGAGTTCCGTTCTTCATGCCTGGCAAGAATATTGAGTTCATTTTGCCGAAGGTTGAGATTCTTGGATACAACGTCAACGAGCTGCTTGGATTGCCGAGCGACGGTTCCCCTGTCGAAGCCACTCAGCAGAATGTCGAACGGCTTGCGTCTGACCTCAAGGGCAAGGCTGCTGAGCTGGCTGCTCAAGTTGAGGCTGAAGCACGTCGCCGCATTGAGGAGGCCAAGCAGCAAGCCAAGGAGCGTGCTCGCGCTCTTCTGGCACGCGGCAAGGCCGAACTTGATGCTCGTGCATCTGCCCTCGTTGAAGCGACCAAGGGTGGCAAGGTTCTCCTTCTCGGCGATCTTGTCGATGCCATCGGTATTCCTGGGTTCGACTCGTCTACACTCAACCCTGGCATTGTTGGTCTTCCGAACTTTGCTCTGTTCGGTTTGACGGACATTATCATCGACTATACGCAGCAGAATGGCACCAACTCGTCCGTTCTTGCTGGTCTTCGCACCATTGGAGTCACGATTGTGTACACGAACTCGCAGCCCTGGAAGCTGACTAGCAGCGGCACATTACTGTCTCATCGTTCGGTGTCACGCTGCGTGTCGATCATTACTCCCAGCGGTCGCAAGTTCTCTGGCATGGTCAGCGGTGGCATCACTGTCAATCAGTTCACGTTTGGCGTTCGTGTTCCGTTCTTCATGCCTGGCAAGAACATTGAGTTTATCTTGCCGAAGCTTGAGATTCTTGGATACAACGTGAATGAGCTGCTTGGATTGCCGAGCGACGGTTCGCCTGTCGAAGCCACTCAGCAGAACGTCGAGCGTCTTGCGTCTGACCTTAAGGGCAAGGCTGCTGAGCTGGCTGCTCAAGTTGAAGCTGAAGCACGTCGCCGCATTGAGGAGGCCAAGCAGCAAGCCAAGGAGCGTGCTCGCGCGCTTCTGGCTCGCGGCAAGGCCGAACTTGATGCTCGTGCTGCTGCGCTCGTTGAGGCAACCAAAGGGTGGCAAAGTTCTCCTTCTCGGCGATCTTGTCGATGCTATCGGCATTCCAGGATTCGACTCGTCCACACTCAACCCTGGCATTGTTGGTCTTCCGAACTTTGCTCTGTTCGGTTTGACGGACATCATCATCGACTATTCTCAGCAGAATGGCACCAACTCGTCCGTTCTTGCTGGTCTTCGTACCATCGGAGTGACCATCGTCTACACGAACTCCCAGCCCTGGAAGCTGACTAGCAGCGGCAACATTACTGTCTCATCGTTCGGTGTCACGCTGCGTGTCGATCAGACTCCCAGCGGTCGCAAGTTCTCTGGCATGGTCAGCGGTGGCATCACTGTCAATCAGTTCACGTTTGGCGTTCGTGTTCCGTTCTTCATGCCTGGCAAGAACATTGAGTTTATCTTGCCGAAGCTTGAGATTCTTGGATACAACGTGAATGAGCTGCTTGGATTGCCGAGCGACGGTTCACCTGTCGAAGCCACTCAGCAGAATGTCGAGCGTCTTGCGTCTGACCTTAAGGGCAAGGCGGCCGAGCTTGCCGCTCAAGTGGAGGCTGAGGCGCGTCGCCGTATCGAAGAAGCCAAGCAACAGGCCAAGGAGCGTGCTCGTGCGCTTTTGGCTCGTGGCAAGGCCGAACTTGATGCTCGTGCGGCTGCGCTTGTTGAAGCAACTCAGGGTGGCAAGGTCCTCCTTCTCGGTGATCTCGTCGATGCTATTGGCATTCCCGGATTTGATTCGTCCACTTTGAACCCCGGCATTGTTGGTTTGCCGAACTTTGCTCTTTTCGGCTTGACGGACATTATCATCGACTATACTCAGCAGAATGGTACCAACTCGTCCGTTCTGGCTGGCCTTCGTACGATTGGTGTCACGATTGTGTACACGAACTCCCAGCCCTGGAAGCTGACGAGCAGCGGCAACATCACTGTTTCCTCATTTGGTGTCACGCTGCGCGTTGATCAGACTCCCAGCGGTCGCAAGTTCTCTGGCATGGTGAGCGGTGGCATCACTGTCAATCAGTTCACGTTTGGCGTTCGTGTTCCGTTCTTCATGCCTGGCAAGAACATTGAGTTCATCCTGCCGAAACTTGAGATCCTTGGCTACAATGTCAATGAGCTTCTTGGCCTGCCCAGCGACGGTTCGCCTGTCGAAGCCACTCAAGAGAACGTCGAGCGTCTTGCGTCTGACCTGAAGGGCAAGGCTGCGGAGCTGGCCGCCCAAGTTGAAGCGGAAGCGCGTCGTCGTATTGAGGAGGCCAAGCAGCAAGCCAAGGAGCGTGCTCGCGCGCTTCTGGCACGCGGCAAGGCTGAACTCGATGCTCGTGCTGCTGCGCTTGTTGAAGCGACTCAGGGTGGCAAGGTTCTCCTTCTAGGTGATCTCGTCGATGCTATTGGCATTCCCGGATTTGATTCGTCCACATTGAATCCCGGAATGGTCGGTCTTCCGAACTTTGCTCTGTTCGGCTTGACGGATATTATCATTGACTATTCTCAACAGAATGGCACCAACTCGTCCGTTCTGGCGGGTCTTCGTACCATCGGAGTGACCATCGTCTACACGAACTCCCAGCCCTGGAAGCTGACTAGCAGCGGCAACATCACTGTTTCCTCATTTGGTGTCACCCTTCGTGTCGATCAAACACCGAGCGGCCGCAAGTTCTCTGGCATGGTCAGCGGTGGCATCACTGTCAATCAGTTTACGTTTGGCGTTCGAGTTCCGTTCTTCATGCCTGGCAAGAATATTGAGTTCATTTTGCCGAAGGTTGAGATTCTTGGATACAACGTCAACGAGCTGCTTGGATTGCCGAGCGACGGTTCCCCTGTCGAAGCCACTCAGCAGAATGTCGAACGGCTTGCGTCTGACCTCAAGGGCAAGGCTGCTGAGCTGGCTGCTCAAGTTGAGGCTGAAGCACGTCGCCGCATTGAGGAGGCCAAGCAGCAAGCCAAGGAGCGTGCTCGCGCTCTTCTGGCACGCGGCAAGGCCGAACTCGATGCTCGTGCTGCTGCGCTCGTTGAAGCGACCAAGGGTGGCAAGGTTCTCCTTCTCGGCGATCTTGTCGATGCCATCGGCATTCCCGGATTCGATTCTTCTACTTTGAACCCCGGCATTGTTGGTCTGCCGAACTTTGCTCTGTTCGGCTTGACGGACATTATCATCGACTATACTCAGCAGAATGGTACCAACTCGTCAGTTCTGGCTGGCCTTCGTACGATTGGTGTCACGATTGTGTACACGAACTCGCAGCCGTGGAAGCTGACCAGTAGCGGCAACATTACTGTCTCCTCATTTGGTGTCACCCTTCGTGTCGATCAAACACCGAGCGGTCGCAAGTTCTCTGGCATGGTGAGCGGTGGCATTACCGTCAATCAGTTCACGTTTGGTGTTCGGGTTCCGTTCTTCATGCCTGGCAAGAACATTGAGTTTATCTTGCCGAAGCTTGAGATTCTTGGATACAACGTCAACGAGCTGCTTGGATTGCCGAGCGACGGTTCCCCTGTCGAAGCCACTCAGCAGAATGTCGAACGGCTTGCGTCTGACCTCAAGGGCAAGGCTGCTGAGCTGGCTGCTCAAGTTGAGGCTGAAGCACGTCGCCGCATTGAGGAGGCCAAGCAGCAAGCCAAGGAGCGTGCTCGCGCTCTTCTGGCACGCGGCAAGGCCGAACTTGATGCTCGTGCATCTGCCCTCGTTGAAGCGACCAAGGGTGGCAAGGTTCTCCTTCTCGGCGATCTTGTCGATGCCATCGGTATTCCTGGGTTCGACTCGTCTACACTCAACCCTGGCATTGTTGGTCTTCCGAACTTTGCTCTGTTCGGTTTGACGGACATTATCATCGACTATACGCAGCAGAATGGCACCAACTCGTCAGTTCTTGCTGGTCTTCGTACGATTGGCGTCACGATTGTGTACACGAACTCGCAGCCCTGGAAGCTGACTAGCAGTGGCAACATTACTGTCTCGTCGTTCGGTGTGACGCTGCGTGTTGATCAGACTCCAAGTGGCCGCAAGTTCTCTGGCATGGTCAGCGGTGGCATCACTGTCAATCAGTTTACGTTTGGAGTCCGCGTTCCGTTCTTCATGCCTGGCAAGAACATTGAGTTCATTTTGCCGAAGGTTGAGATTCTCGGCTACAATGTCAATGAGCTTCTTGGCCTGCCCAGCGACGGTTCGCCTGTCGAAGCCACTCAAGAGAACGTCGAGCGTCTTGCATCTGACCTTAAGGGCAAGGCTGCTGAGCTTGCTGCTCAAGTTGAGGCTGAAGCACGTCGTCGTATTGAGGAGGCCAAGCAACAGGCTAAGGAGCGTGCTCGCGCGCTTTTGGCTCGTGGCAAGGCTGAGCTTGATGCTCGTGCATCTGCCCTCGTTGAAGCGACCAAGGGCGGCAAGGTCCTCCTTCTCGGTGATCTCGTTGATGCTATTGGCATTCCCGGATTTGATTCGTCCACTTTGAATCCTGGCATTGTTGGTCTGCCGAACTTTGCTCTTTTCGGTTTGACTGACATCATCATCGACTATAGTCAGCAAAACGGCACCAATTCGTCCGTTCTTGCTGGTCTTCGTACGATTGGTGTCACGATCGTGTACACGAACTCGCAACCTTGGAAGCTGACTAGCAGCGGCAACATTACTGTCTCGTCGTTCGGTGTCACCCTTCGTGTTGATCAGACTTCAAGTGGCCGCAAGTTCTCCGGCATGGTCAGCGGTGGCATCACTGTCAATCAGTTTACGTTTGGAGTCCGTGTTCCGTTCTTCATGCCTGGCAAGAACATTGAGTTCATTTTGCCAAAGCTTGAGATTCTTGGCTACAATGTCAATGAGCTTCTTGGCCTGCCCAGCGACGGTTCGCCTGTCGAAGCCACTCAAGAGAACGTCGAGCGTCTTGCGTCTGACCTGAAGGGCAAGGCTGCGGAGCTGGCCGCCCAAGTTGAAGCGGAAGCGCGTCGTCGTATTGAGGAGGCCAAGCAGCAAGCCAAGGAGCGTGCTCGCGCGCTTCTGGCACGCGGCAAGGCTGAACTCGATGCTCGTGCTGCTGCGCTCGTTGAAGCGACGTCCGGCGGCAAGGTTCTTCTTCTCGGTGATCTCGTTGATGCTATTGGCATTCCCGGATTTGATTCGTCCACTCTGAATCCTGGCATTGTCGGTCTGCCGAACTTTGCTCTGTTCGGTTTGACTGATATCATCATCGACTATACTCAGCAGAATGGCACCAACTCGTCCGTTCTTGCAGGACTTCGTACTATCGGTGTCACGATCGTGTACACGAACTCGCAACCTTGGAAGCTGACTAGCAGCGGCAACATTACTGTCTCGTCGTTCGGTGTCACGCTGCGTGTCGATCAGACTCCCAGCGGTCGCAAGTTCTCTGGCATGGTTAGCGGTGGCATTACCGTCAATCAGTTTACGTTTGGCGTTCGTGTTCCGTTCTTCATGCCTGGCAAGAATATTGAGTTCATCCTGCCGAAACTTGAGATCCTTGGCTACAATGTCAATGAGCTTCTTGGCCTGCCCAGCGACGGTTCGCCTGTCGAAGCCACTCAAGAGAACGTCGAGCGTCTTGCGTCTGACCTGAAGGGCAAGGCTGCGGAGCTGGCCGCCCAAGTTGAAGCGGAAGCGCGTCGTCGTATTGAGGAGGCCAAGCAGCAAGCCAAGGAGCGTGCTCGCGCGCTTCTGGCACGCGGCAAGGCTGAACTCGATGCTCGTGCTGCTGCGCTTGTTGAAGCGACTCAGGGTGGCAAGGTTCTCCTTCTAGGTGATCTCGTCGATGCTATTGGCATTCCCGGATTTGATTCGTCCACATTGAATCCCGGAATGGTCGGTCTTCCGAACTTTGCCCTGTTCGGCTTGACGGATATTATCATTGACTATTCTCAACAGAATGGCACCAACTCGTCCGTTCTGGCGGGTCTTCGTACCATCGGAGTGACCATCGTCTACACGAACTCCCAGCCCTGGAAGCTGACTAGCAGCGGCAACATCACTGTTTCCTCATTTGGTGTCACCCTTCGTGTCGATCAAACACCGAGCGGCCGCAAGTTCTCTGGCATGGTCAGCGGTGGCATCACTGTCAATCAGTTCACGTTTGGCGTTCGAGTTCCGTTCTTCATGCCTGGCAAGAACATTGAGTTTATCTTGCCGAAGCTTGAGATTCTTGGATACAACGTCAACGAGCTGCTTGGATTGCCGAGCGACGGTTCCCCTGTCGAAGCCACTCAGCAGAATGTCGAACGGCTTGCGTCTGACCTCAAGGGCAAGGCTGCTGAGCTGGCTGCCCAAGTTGAGGCTGAGGCGCGTCGTCGTATTGAGGAGGCTAAGCAGCAAGCCAAGGAGCGTGCTCGCGCTCTTCTGGCCCGTGGCAAGGCGGAACTTGATGCTCGTGCTGCTGCGCTTGTTGAAGCAACCAAGGGTGGCAAGGTCCTCCTTCTCGGCGATCTCGTCGATGCTATCGGCATTCCAGGATTCGACTCGTCCACACTCAACCCTGGTATTGTTGGTCTTCCGAACTTTGCCCTGTTCGGATTGACGGACGTTATCGTTGATTATTCTCAGCAAAATGGCACTTCGTCCGCTCTTGCTGGTCTTCGCACCATCGGAGTGACCATCGTCTACACGAACTCCCAGCCGTGGAAGCTGACTAGCAGCGGCAACATCACTGTTTCCTCATTTGGTGTCACCCTTCGTGTCGATCAAACACCGAGCGGCCGCAAGTTCTCTGGCATGGTCAGCGGTGGCATCACTGTCAATCAGTTCACGTTTGGAGTCCGCGTTCCGTTCTTCATGCCTGGCAAGAACATTGAGTTTATCTTGCCGAAGGTTGAGATTCTTGGATACAATGTGAACGAACTGCTTGGACTGCCCAGCGACGGTTCCCCTGTCGAAGCCACTCAAGAGAACGTTGAGCGTCTTGCATCGGATCTCAAGGGCAAGGCTGCTGAGCTTGCTGCCCAAGTTGAGGCTGAGGCGCGTCGTCGTATTGAGGAGGCCAAGCAACAGGCCAAGGAGCGTGCTCGCGCGCTTTTGGCTCGTGGCAAGGCTGAGCTTGAAACCCGTGCTGCTGCACTCGTTGAGGCAACCAAGGGTGGCAAAGTTCTCCTTCTCGGCGATCTCGTCGATGCTATCGGCATTCCAGGATTCGACTCGTCCACACTCAACCCTGGTATTGTTGGTCTTCCGAACTTTGCTCTGTTCGGTTTGACTGATATCATCATCGACTATACTCAGCAGAATGGCACCAACTCGTCCGTTCTTGCTGGTCTTCGCACCATCGGAGTGACCATCATCTACACGAACTCCCAGCCCTGGAAGCTGACTAGCAGCGGCAACATTACTGTCTCATCGTTCGGTGTCACGCTGCGTGTCGATCAGACTCCCAGCGGTCGCAAGTTCTCTGGCATGGTCAGCGGTGGCATCACTGTCAATCAGTTCACGTTTGGCGTTCGTGTTCCGTTCTTCATGCCTGGCAAGAACATTGAGTTCATCCTGCCGAAACTTGAGATTCTCGGCTACAATGTCAACGAGCTGCTTGGATTGCCGAGCGACGGTTCGCCTGTTGAAGCCACTCAGCAGAACGTCGAGCGTCTTGCGTCTGACCTTAAGGGCAAGGCTGCTGAGCTTGCTGCTCAAGTTGAGGCTGAAGCACGTCGTCGTATTGAGGAGGCCAAGCAGCAAGCCAAGGAGCGTGCTCGCGCTCTTCTGGCCCGTGGCAAGGCGGAACTTGATGCTCGTGCTGCTGCGCTTGTTGAAGCAACCAAGGGTGGCAAAGTTCTCCTTCTCGGCGATCTCGTCGATGCTATCGGCATTCCAGGATTCGACTCGTCCACACTCAACCCTGGCATTGTTGGTCTTCCGAACTTTGCTCTGTTCGGATTGACGGACATTATCGTTGATTATTCTCAGCAAAATGGCACCAACTCGTCCGTTCTTGCTGGTCTTCGCACCATCGGAGTGACCATCGTCTACACGAACTCCCAGCCGTGGAAGCTGACTAGCAGCGGCAACATCACTGTTTCCTCATTTGGTGTCACGCTGCGTGTCGATCAAACACCGAGCGGCCGCAAGTTCTCTGGCATGGTCAGCGGTGGCATCACTGTCAATCAGTTCACGTTTGGAGTCCGCGTTCCGTTCTTCATGCCTGGCAAGAACATTGAGTTTATCTTGCCGAAGGTTGAGATTCTTGGATACAATGTGAACGAACTGCTTGGACTGCCCAGCGACGGTTCCCCTGTCGAAGCCACTCAAGAGAACGTTGAGCGTCTTGCATCGGATCTCAAGGGCAAGGCTGCTGAGCTTGCTGCCCAAGTTGAGGCTGAGGCGCGTCGTCGTATTGAGGAGGCCAAGCAACAGGCCAAGGAGCGTGCTCGCGCGCTTTTGGCTCGTGGCAAGGCTGAGCTTGAAACCCGTGCTGCTGCACTCGTTGAGGCAACCAAGGGTGGCAAAGTTCTCCTTCTCGGCGATCTCGTCGATGCTATCGGCATTCCAGGATTCGACTCGTCCACACTCAACCCTGGTATTGTTGGTCTTCCGAACTTTGCTCTGTTCGGTTTGACTGATATCATCATCGACTATACTCAGCAGAATGGCACCAACTCGTCCGTTCTTGCTGGTCTTCGCACCATCGGAGTGACCATCATCTACACGAACTCCCAGCCCTGGAAGCTGACTAGCAGCGGCAACATTACTGTCTCATCGTTCGGTGTCACGCTGCGTGTCGATCAGACTCCCAGCGGTCGCAAGTTCTCTGGCATGGTCAGCGGTGGCATCACTGTCAATCAGTTCACGTTTGGCGTTCGTGTTCCGTTCTTCATGCCTGGCAAGAACATTGAGTTTATCTTGCCGAAGCTTGAGATTCTTGGATACAACGTGAATGAGCTGCTTGGATTGCCGAGCGACGGTTCGCCTGTTGAAGCGACGCAGCAGAACGTCGAGCGTCTTGCATCTGACCTTAAGGGCAAGGCTGCTGAGCTGGCTGCTCAAGTTGAGGCTGAAGCTCGTCGCCGCGTTGAGGAGGCTAAGCAACAGGCCAAGGAGCGTGCTCGTGCGCTTTTGGCTCGCGGCAAGGCCGAACTTGATGCTCGTGCTGCTGCACTAGTTGAGGCAACATCCGGCGGCAAGGTTCTCCTTCTTGGTGATCTCGTTGATGCTATTGGCATTCCTGGGTTCGACTCGTCCACTCTGAATCCTGGCATTGTCGGTTTGCCGAACTTTGCTTTGTTCGGTTTGACGGACATCATCATCGACTACTCGCAGCAAAACGGCACCAATTCATCGGTTCTTGCTGGTCTTCGTACCATCGGTGTCACGATTGTGTACACGAACTCGCAGCCCTGGAAGCTGACTAGCAGCGGCAACATCACTGTTTCCTCATTTGGTGTCACGCTGCGTGTCGATCAGACTCCCAGCGGCCGCAAGTTCTCCGGCATGGTGAGCGGTGGCATCACTGTCAATCAGTTCACGTTTGGAGTCCGCGTTCCGTTCTTCATGCCTGGCAAGAACATTGAGTTCATTTTGCCGAAGGTAGAGATTCTCGGCTACAATGTGAACGAACTCCTTGGATTGCCGAGCGACGGTTCCCCTGTCGAAGCCACTCAGCAGAATGTCGAGCGTCTTGCATCTGACCTTAAGGGCAAGGCTGCTGAGCTTGCTGCTCAAGTTGAGGCTGAAGCACGTCGTCGTATTGAGGAGGCCAAGCAACAGGCTAAGGAGCGTGCTCGCGCGCTTTTGGCTCGTGGCAAGGCTGAGCTTGATGCTCGTGCATCTGCCCTCGTTGAAGCGACCAAGGGTGGCAAGGTTCTCCTTCTCGGCGATCTCGTTGATGCTATTGGCATTCCTGGGTTCGACTCGTCTACTCTCAACCCTGGCATTGTTGGTCTTCCGAACTTTGCTCTGTTCGGTTTGACGGACATTATCATCGACTATACGCAGCAGAATGGCACCAACTCGTCAGTTCTTGCTGGTCTTCGTACGATTGGCGTCACGATTGTGTACACGAACTCGCAGCCCTGGAAGCTGACTAGCAGTGGCAACATTACTGTCTCGTCGTTCGGTGTGACCCTTCGTGTTGATCAGACTCCAAGTGGCCGCAAGTTCTCCGGCATGGTCAGCGGTGGCATCACTGTCAATCAGTTCACGTTTGGCGTTCGAGTTCCGTTCTTCATGCCTGGCAAGAATATTGAGTTCATCCTGCCGAAACTTGAGATTCTTGGCTACAATGTCAATGAGCTTCTTGGCCTGCCCAGCGACGGTTCGCCTGTCGAAGCGACTCAAGAGAACGTCGAGCGTCTTGCGTCTGACCTGAAGGGCAAGGCTGCGGAGCTGGCCGCCCAAGTTGAAGCGGAAGCGCGTCGTCGTATTGAGGAAGCCAAGCAACAGGCTAAGGAGCGTGCTCGCGCGCTTTTGGCTCGTGGCAAGGCTGAGCTTGATGCTCGTGCATCTGCCCTCGTTGAAGCGACCAAGGGCGGCAAGGTTCTCCTTCTCGGCGATCTTGTGGATGCCATCGGTATTCCTGGGTTCGACTCGTCCACTCTGAATCCTGGCATTGTCGGTCTGCCGAACTTTGCCCTGTTCGGTTTGACGGACATCATCATCGATTACTCGCAACAAAACGGCACCAATTCGTCGGTTCTGGCGGGTCTTCGTACCATCGGAGTGACCATCGTCTACACGAACTCCCAGCCCTGGAAGCTGACTAGCAGCGGCAACATCACTGTTTCCTCATTTGGTGTCACGCTGCGTGTCGATCAAACTCCCAGCGGTCGCAAGTTCTCTGGCATGGTGAGCGGTGGCATCACTGTCAATCAGTTCACGTTTGGTGTTCGGGTTCCGTTCTTCATGCCTGGCAAGAACATTGAGTTTATCTTGCCGAAGCTTGAGATTCTTGGATACAACGTCAACGAGCTGCTTGGATTGCCGAGCGACGGTTCACCTGTCGAAGCCACTCAGCAGAATGTCGAGCGTCTTGCGTCTGACCTTAAGGGCAAGGCGGCCGAGCTTGCCGCTCAAGTGGAGGCTGAGGCGCGTCGCCGTATCGAAGAAGCCAAGCAACAGGCCAAGGAGCGTGCTCGTGCGCTTTTGGCTCGTGGCAAGGCCGAACTTGATGCTCGTGCGGCTGCGCTTGTTGAAGCAACTCAGGGTGGCAAGGTCCTCCTTCTCGGTGATCTCGTCGATGCTATTGGCATTCCCGGATTTGATTCGTCCACTTTGAACCCCGGCATTGTTGGTTTGCCGAACTTTGCTCTTTTCGGCTTGACGGACATTATCATCGACTATACTCAGCAGAATGGTACCAACTCGTCCGTTCTGGCTGGCCTTCGTACGATTGGTGTCACGATTGTGTACACGAACTCCCAGCCCTGGAAGCTGACGAGCAGCGGCAACATCACTGTTTCCTCATTTGGTGTCACGCTGCGCGTTGATCAGACTCCCAGCGGTCGCAAGTTCTCTGGCATGGTGAGCGGTGGCATCACTGTCAATCAGTTCACGTTTGGCGTTCGTGTTCCGTTCTTCATGCCTGGCAAGAACATTGAGTTCATCCTGCCGAAACTTGAGATTCTCGGCTACAATGTCAACGAGCTGCTTGGATTGCCGAGCGACGGTTCGCCTGTTGAAGCCACTCAGCAGAACGTCGAGCGTCTTGCGTCTGACCTTAAGGGCAAGGCTGCTGAGCTTGCTGCTCAAGTTGAGGCTGAAGCACGTCGTCGTATTGAGGAGGCCAAGCAGCAAGCCAAGGAGCGTGCTCGCGCTCTTCTGGCCCGTGGCAAGGCGGAACTTGATGCTCGTGCTGCTGCGCTTGTTGAAGCAACCAAGGGTGGCAAAGTTCTCCTTCTCGGCGATCTCGTCGATGCTATCGGCATTCCAGGATTCGACTCGTCCACACTCAACCCTGGCATTGTTGGTCTTCCGAACTTTGCTCTGTTCGGATTGACGGACATTATCGTTGATTATTCTCAGCAAAATGGCACCAACTCGTCCGTTCTTGCTGGTCTTCGCACCATCGGAGTGACCATCGTCTACACGAACTCGCAGCCCTGGAAGCTGACTAGCAGCGGCAACATTACTGTCTCATCGTTCGGTGTCACGCTGCGTGTCGATCAGACTCCCAGCGGTCGCAAGTTCTCTGGCATGGTCAGCGGTGGCATCACTGTCAATCAGTTCACGTTTGGCGTTCGTGTTCCGTTCTTCATGCCTGGCAAGAACATTGAGTTTATCTTGCCGAAGCTTGAGATTCTTGGATACAACGTGAATGAGCTGCTTGGATTGCCGAGCGACGGTTCGCCTGTTGAAGCGACGCAGCAGAACGTCGAGCGTCTTGCATCTGACCTTAAGGGCAAGGCTGCTGAGCTGGCTGCTCAAGTTGAGGCTGAAGCTCGTCGCCGCGTTGAGGAGGCTAAGCAACAGGCCAAGGAGCGTGCTCGTGCGCTTTTGGCTCGCGGCAAGGCCGAACTTGATGCTCGTGCTGCTGCACTAGTTGAGGCAACATCCGGCGGCAAGGTTCTCCTTCTTGGTGATCTCGTTGATGCTATTGGCATTCCTGGGTTCGACTCGTCCACTCTGAATCCTGGCATTGTCGGTTTGCCGAACTTTGCTTTGTTCGGTTTGACGGACATCATCATCGACTACTCGCAGCAAAACGGCACCAATTCATCGGTTCTTGCTGGTCTTCGTACCATCGGTGTCACGATTGTGTACACGAACTCGCAGCCCTGGAAGCTGACTAGCAGCGGCAACATTACTGTCTCGTCGTTCGGTGTCACCCTTCGTGTTGATCAGACTTCAAGTGGCCGCAAGTTCTCCGGCATGGTCAGCGGTGGCATCACTGTCAATCAGTTTACGTTTGGAGTCCGTGTTCCGTTCTTCATGCCTGGCAAGAACATTGAGTTCATTTTGCCGAAACTTGAGATTCTCGGCTACAATGTGAACGAACTCCTTGGATTGCCGAGCGACGGTTCCCCTGTCGAAGCCACTCAGCAGAATGTCGAGCGTCTTGCATCTGACCTTAAGGGCAAGGCTGCGGAGCTGGCTGCCCAAGTTGAGGCTGAAGCACGTCGTCGTATTGAGGAGGCCAAGCAACAGGCTAAGGAGCGTGCTCGTGCGCTTTTGGCTCGTGGCAAGGCTGAGCTCGAAACCCGTGCTGCTGCCCTCGTTGAGGCAACATCCGGTGGCAAGATCCTCCTTCTCGGTGACCTCGTTGATGCTATCGCCATTCCTGGCTTTGATTCCAGGACGTTGAATCCTGGCGTTGCTGGCTTGCCGAATTTCGCCATGTTTGGTATCACCGATGTTTTGATCGATTACTCTCAAAACAGCACCAACTCTTCGGCGGTTCAAGCGCTTCGTGCTCTTGGTGTGACCATCATTTACACCGCGAAGGATCCCTGGAAGCTCATCCCATCAGGTTCAGTGTTTGTTTCGTCCTTTGGCATCTCCCTCCGTCTCGATCAAATCGCTGGATCGTTCAAGTTTTCCGGTGTTGTGAGCGGTGGCATTACCGTGTCGACGTTCACGTTCGGCATTCGTGTCCCGTTCAATATTCCTGGTCAATCAGTCGAGTTCATTCTTCCCAAAGTCGAAGTTCTCGGCTACAGCATCAACGATTTGCTCGGCCTCCCATCGGAGTCAGAGCCAGTTACAGTCGCTGTTGAGCAAATTGCTGCCGATCTCCAAGGCAAAGCAGCCGAGCTTGCCGCGCAAGTTGAAGCTGAAGCGCGCCGCCGCCTGCAGGAAGCCAAGCAAGCAGCTCAGGAACGCGCTCGTTCGCTCCTGGCTCGAAGTGCCGCGGAGCTGGAAACCCGTGCTCAAGCTTTGGCAACCGCCACTGCGGGTCGCGTTTTGACTCTCGGCCAGCTTGTTGATGCGATTGCCGTCCCCGGATTTTCGTCGGGCATGCTCAACCCTGGCGTCGCTGGTTTGCCGAACTTTGCGCTGTTCGGCATCACAGATGTTTCATTGCAATTCTCGCAAGGAAACAACACCAAGGGTGGAGGCCTTGCCGGGCTTCGATACGCCGGCGTCACCATCGTGTACGCTTCTGCTGCGCCTTGGTACTTGACCCCGAGCAAAAACATCGCTATCTCTCAGTTTGGCTTGCGCTTGCAAGTACAAATTTCCTCGCCCGGCGGATTGACTTTCTCGGGCATGGTTAGCGGTGGCATCACCGTCTCGACTTTCACTTTCGGTGTTCGCGTTCCTTTCAATATGCCTGATCAGTCGGCCCAGTTCATTCTTCCGAAGATTGAGGTGTTTGGTGTCTCTATCAATGATGTTCTTGGGTTGCCTGCTGCGGAAACCGTTACGGCACCGTCTCTTCAAGATGCTGTTGGCTCGTTGCGCGGCCGCGCTGCTGAGCTTACTGCGCAGCTGGAGGCCGAAGCGCGTCGACGCGTGGAGGAACTCAAACAGCAGGCCAAGGAACGTGTCCGTTCGTTGCTCGCGACCACTCAAGCCGAACTTGACACACGCACCCAAGCTCTTGTGGCTGCCACTCAAGGTCGCGTGCTGTATCTTGGCACCCTTGTGAACGCCTTGGCCATTCCCGGATTTGATTCTTCTGCACTCAACACTGGCATTGCAGGCCTGCCCAACTTTGCCGAGTTTGGTTTGACGGATGTGGTGATTCAGTTCGCGGGCAACGCTTCCACCGGATTCAATAGCTTGCGCACGCTGGGTGTGACAATCATCTATGGCGGCTCAACTCCCTGGTACCTGACTCCTGGTACTGGCATCCGTGTGACGCAGTTTGGCTTGACACTCCGCATGGACCAGACAGCGGCAGGGCGCAAGTTCTCTGGCGTGCTGAGCGGCGGTGTTCTCGTGTCATCCTTCTCGTTTGCAATCCGCGTGCCGTTCATGATGCCAGGCCAGTCTGTCGAATTTATTCTTCCCAAGGTCGAAGTGCTCGGCATGTCTGTGAACGAGTTGCTCGGTCTCCCGACTGACGGCCTTCCCGTTAAACTGCCTGATCAAGCGACCTTGGCCCAAGCTGTTGGATCTTTAACTGGAAAGGCCGCTGAGTTGGCCGCGCAAGTGGAAGCGGAGGCTAAGCGCCGCGTTGAGGAAGCAAAGTTAGCGGTCAAGGAACGCATGCGTTCGCTTCTCGCAACGTCTCAAGCTGAGCTCGAAACGCGCGCGGCTGCTCTGCAGGCCGCCACTGCCGGCAAAGTTCTTCTTCTTGGCTCACTCGTTGATGCGCTCAGCTTGCCCGGCATCTCCAGTTCCGATCTGAACACGGGCATTGCTGGTCTCCCGAACTTTGCCATGTTTGGTTTGACTGAAATTCTTGTCGAGTTCATGGCACAAGAAAACAGCACTTCAGGCTCGGCGCGCGGCATGGCCGGTCTGCGAACGCTGGGTGTCACTATTTTGTACGCGTCTTCCGATCCTTGGTTCCTGACGCCCAGCAAGCTCATCCGCGTGACGCAGTTTGGCCTGAAACTGCGCGTCGACTTTGCACCGCTTGGGCGCAAATTCTCCTGTGTTCTCAGTGGAGGAATTCAAGTCGACAAATTTGTCTTTGGTGTTCGTGCGCCTTTCAACATCCCTGGCGAACGCGTCGAGTTCATTCTCCCGAAGGTGGAAGTTTTGGGCGTTAGCGTGAATGACATGCTGGGTCTTCCGGCGGGCACTCCGCTCGAGCTTGAGACCGAATCTGCGCGTCAAAAGCTCAACGACTTGAAAGAGAAGGCGTCGGATGCTCTTGTCCGAGTTGAGGCTGAAGCGCGCCGACGCGCCGAAGAGGCCAAACAGCAGATCAAGGATCGGATGCGATCGATGCTTCCGCAGGGTGTGGAGGAACTCAATAATCGCATGTCTGCGCTTGTTAGCGCCACGGACGGCAAAGTTCTCAAGCTGGGCACGATTGTGCAAGCGATCGGCATTCCTGGTTTTACGTCAGCGAGCCTCAATCCTGGCGTTGCTGGCTTGCCGAATTTTGCTGACTTTGGCATTACCAACTTCCAAGTTGAGTTTGCCGCTCCTGCCACCTCCAATGCCACCTCTAACGCCACGGCTCCCCCTGGCTTGGATGGGCTGCGGATGCTTTCTGTCACCATCATTTATTCATCGACGACACCATGGTACCTCGTCCCGACGACAACGTTGATCCGGGTTTCGCAGTTTGGCGTCATGCTTCGGCTTGATCAAACAGGCGGCATCCGTCGGTTCTCTGCCGTCATTAGCGGTGGCGTGTTGATCAACAACAAGTTTACTTTTGGTGTTCGTGTGCCCTTCAATGTTCCCGGCGCTCAAGTCGAGTTTATCCTTCCCAAGGTCGAAGTGTTTGGCATGAACATTAATGAAATGCTTGGCCTCGCGGCTGACAAGACCCTCGAGTTTGACGCGAACGCTGCTGCAAAGGCCCTTGGTGATTTGCAAGGCGAGGCTCGTTTGCTTGCGGAAAAGATCGAAGCCGAGGCGCGCCGTGTTGCTGAAGAAGCGAAAGCTGCGCTCAAGTCGCGTGCTCGAGCACTGGTTGCCCGTACCTCCGCAGAGCTTGATGCTCGAGTTGCTGCAATCAAGGCTGCTACCGAGAATCGCGTTTTGCTTCTCGGCGATTTGGTCGCTTCGCTCGGCATTCCCGGCGTTACTTCCGAAGCGCTCGACACGAAGGTTGCCGGTCTTCCCAATTTCGCCTTGTTTGGCATTACGGACGTCCAAATTGAGTTTGCACCCCGAGCTGGTGCCAACACGTCTGGCTTCTCTTCCCTCAGCCGCGTGCAAGCGACGATTGTCTACACCAAGACCGAAGGTTGGCAACTGCTCCCGAGTGGTTCCATTTTTGTTCGATCATTTGGTCTGCTACTCGGTTTCCGTACTGTTTCGTCCAACCAAACGTCCTTCTACGGCCGAATTTCTGGAACGATCTCCATTGGGCAGTTTGTCTTTGGAGCCGCGGTTCCATTCAACATGCCCAATGAGCGCGTCGAGTTTGTCCTTCCTCAGGTTACTGTGAATGGCCTGAGCATCAATTCTCTGTTTGGCATCCCCGAAAAGGCATCGGTGCAAGATCTCAGCGCGCTGCCGGCCGCTGCTGCATCCAAGCTCAAGGACGCGGCGCTGGAGGCCAAGAAGGCCGCTCAAGAACGCATGCGATCTCTCCTTCCTGCTGGTGTCACTGCTGCTCAAAACCTTGTGACCAACATTGCAGAAGCCACCAATGGCAAGGTGCTTTTGCTCGGAAACTTGGTCAACTCGCTTGGCATCGATGGCTTTACGGCGTCCGTTCTGGATCCTGGTGTGCCAGGCTTGCCGAACTTTGCAATGTTTGGCATTACCAACTTCCATATCGAGTTCCGCAATCAAAGCTCGACCGGCTTTGGTGGCATCAAGAGCGCCGGCATCACCATTTTGGCAACCCAGCCCTGGACCATTGTTGGCAGTCTTCGTGTTCTCGCCTTTGCGTTGCAACTCGAGTTGTACACCGATGGAGCCAACAAACTCGTGTTTGGCGGCGCCGTGTCTGGCACAATCGCAGTCAACTCGTTCGTCTTTGGCGCTCGCGTTCCATTCAACTTGCCTGGCGAAACTCTTTCCTTTGTTTTGCCCGAGATCAAATTGTTCGGCATGGACGTCAAGCAAGTCTTTGGCATTTCCGATACCCCGAGCCTCGACGAGCTCCAGAGTGCCTTGCCCAACGTGACCGCCCTTGCTGACAAGATGAAATTGGAGGCTCTCCAGAAGCTGACGGACTTGAAGGCGGAGGCCAAGAATCGCATGCGTCAGTTGCAGGCGTCGACGCGAGCCGAGGCCCTGAGATTGGCGGCTGACTTGAAAGCAGCAACTGCTGGCAAAGTCTTGCTCTTTGGCGACATTGTCGATGCCTTCTCCATCCCCGGCTTCTCGTCGAGCACATTGAACCCTGGTGTTGCTGGCCTGCCCAATTTCGCGACCTTTGGCATCACCGATGTCAATGTAGCGTTCAACAACAGTGGTGCCACCAGCTTTGGCAGTGTGCTTGGGCTGAATGTCACCATTCTTGCCACCCAGCCATGGACTGTCTATGGTCAGCTCCAAGTGACGGCATTTGCCGTTCGCTTTGGCATGTCCACCGACGGCTATGGCGCTCGCACGTTCTTTGGCTCCGTGTCTGGCACAATTGCTTTGTCAGATATCGTTGTCTCCGTGTACGCACCGTTCAACATGCCTGGTGAGCGATTTGAGCTGGTTTTGCCCGATGTGTCCGTTTTTGGAGCCAGCTTGAACGACTTCTTTGGCGTTGTCCCGCAGTCGGCTGTTGGCCATTTGGAGAGCATTGCAACCTCCAACCTGACCACCATTGCATCCTCGTTGAAGCTTGAGGCTGCCAAACAGCTGGAAGCTGCGAAGGCCGCTGCTCGTTCCAAGGCCAAGGAGTTGATGGCTCGCTCGATTGAAGAGTTGAACAAGATGAATGCGGCCTTGACTGCCGCGACTGCAGGCAAGGTCCTTACTCTCGGCTCTATCGTCGATTCGCTGTCGATTTCCGGGTTCACTTCGGCCACCCTCAACCCAGGCGTCGCTGGTCTACCCAACTTTGCCGCCTTTGGATTGACCGATTTTGTTTGCGAATTTGGAACATCGAATTCGACTGGTCTCGGTTCCTTCAACAAGCTCGGTGTGACGATTGTCTACACCCAGGTTTGGACCGTTTACGCGAACGTCAAGGTCACTTCCTTCGCCCTGCGACTGCAGCTGACACGCGATGTTTACGGATCACTGTCGTTCGGAGGCGCCGTTTCTGGTACCGTGCAGTTGAACACGTTCTTCTTTACGATTCGCGTTCCTTTCAATCTCCCCGGCGAGAAGATGCAGTTCATCCTCCCCGAGATTACAATTGGCGGTCGAAACATTCGCGAAACGTTTGGCATTCCAGACGAGGTCTCCACTTCGCTGTCAGACCTTGCAAAGACGATCAACGACGCACCCGCCATTGTTGCCCAGATTCAAGCCGAGGCTGCCAGTCAGCTGGCTATCGCAAAGAAGCAGGCGCGTGAAAAGATTCGACAGGTTGTCGCTCAGACCATCGACGAAGCCAACAAGTTTGCTGCTGATCTGACCGCTGCCACCTCGGGCAAGGTTCTGACGCTTGGCACCATCGTCGATGCCCTTTCTGTTCCTGGCTTGACCTCCGCGTCGCTCAATACGAACACGGCGGGTCTTCCCAACTTTGCTACCTTTGGCTTGATGGACTTTAAGCTCGAGTTCCAAAACTCGAACGGCAGCTCGCTTGGTTCGCTCAAGACCCTTGGCGTCACTGTGCTTGCGACGCAGCCCTGGACGATCATTTCGACTCTGCGCGTGACAGCCTTCTCCTTTACCGTTGCTTTGAACACTGACGCGTATGGAAGCAGGTCGTTCTCTGGCGCTGTCGCCGGCACCATCGCGGTTGACTCGTTTGTCGTCTCTGCTCGTGTTCCTTTCGGCATTCCTGGCGAAAAAGTTGAGCTGATTCTGCCGCGGCTGGTTGCTGGCGGCGTCGATATCAGCAAGCTGTTTGGCATGGATGACTTGACCGCGTTCAATCCTGCCATTCTCGCCAATGCCTCGCTGTCTGCCCTTGCCGACGCGGCTGCAACCAAGGCCCGAGCAGCGGTTGCGGATATGAAGTCCCGCGTCCGACAACTCATGCCGCGCACCGACCGTGATCTGAAGGATATGGTTGGCGACATTCGCGACCTTGTTGGCCAGGGCAAGTTGCTCACTCTCGGAACCATGATGAATGCCCTTGGAAGTGGTATCGGGCTTGACACTGCTGCCCTCAACAGTGCCGTCGGCAGTATTCCTGGCATGCCCCCGATCTTGAGCGTTGCCATCACTGACTTTGGCGTCGAGTTCAACGCGACATCGTCCGGATTTGGCCGACTGCTGAGCTTGCAAGTTGCCATGCTCATGACGCAGCCATGGTCTCTTCAACCTGCGCTCACGATCGAGACGCTCGGCTTTGCCCTCTATGTTTCCACGTCAAACCTGACTACAATGGCCAAATCGTACTCTGGCTTTGTGCAAGGCACTGTGTTGATCAACACTGTGATGGTGACTGTTCGTGTTCCCTTCAACCTCCCGGAGAGTATCTCGATTATTCTTCCTGAGGTGGTGATTGACGGCGTGGACATTAACAATTACTTTGGTGCCAACTCGACCGTGGCCACATACATTCCGAGCACTTTGACGGAGATTCAGCGCGTCCAATCGCAGCTGCAAACTCAGTCAGCCAGCATTCTCACCATTGGCCAACTGCTCGCGTCGATGGGATTGTCGAGTGCTGTCGATTTTGACATTGGTGGTCTCAACCCGGGCTCGTTCGGCGTGACCGAGATTGACATCAACATGACCATCACATCGAGTCCTGCATCCCGCGGCCTTCAGAGCGCCTCGATTACGGTCATCCTGACAGAAGAGTGGAAGATTCTTGGCCGCTCGCAGCTCACCGTTCCGTTCTTTGGCTTCAACATTGGCATGACGAAAGTCGGCGCCGTCAACAAATGGTACGGCCGCGTCAAGGGCTGCCTGGTGATCTCTGGCAAGGTTCTTGGCGCCAACATTCCGTTCAATTTGCCCAACCAGCAAGCGACGTTCGTGCTCCCTTCGATTCGTCTGTTTGGCAAGCCCGTCGACCAGCTGTTTGAGACCGCAACCAGTGCTGTGGCAATTCCCTCCGCCAACGATGTCAAAGCCGCTTTGCAGGGATCCCTGCAGCTTACCGACTTGCTGAATGCCGTGGGCATCGATACGGCTCCCCTCCAGTCACTGGTTGCGGTTCCTGGCTTGCCCAATCTGCTGGCGTTTGCCATCACTGAGATGAACCTCAATTTCACGGCTACCAACTCGCTCCAAGGCTTTGCCTTCAAGATTGTCGCCACCGAACGCTGGAACCTGGTTCCTGTGGACACGGGCGCCAAGCTTGCCATCCCTTCGTTCAGCGTGTTTATCACCAAGTTTGTCAACGCTGCAAACGCCACCGTCTATGGCGGTCGCATTCGCGGCACGATTCTGCTGCGCGACAAGCCTGTGCGCATCAGCGTGCCATTCCGTTTGCCCGAGCCTGCGTACGTGCTTATGCCCGAAGTCGTCATTTCTGGCGTGAACGTCGGCCAGATGACCTCTGTGGAGCAGCTGCCGATTCTTGGTCAGATTGAGCGCAGCACGCTCTCCACTCGTCTGCGCGCACTCATCACGCTGGGCGACATTTTGAGCCTCTTCACGGATTCCATTGACATCCCAACCGACCTTCCTGGTATGCCGGCGATCCGATCACTTGCGATTGCTCGTTGCGAGTTTGGGTTTGCTCAAGTCGAAACGCGATCGCAGTTGTCGTCACTCAACATTTCCATCGTGTCGACCGAGCCGTGGACTGTCTTTGGTTCTCGAGTTTCCATCGACTTTTTCGCCTTCTCTGTCGAAATGTTCCGTGATGCACGTGGCTTGGCCGTTTACCAAGGCAGTCTCTTTGGCACCATTCTGTTCCAGCGCACAAATGCATTGCCCGTCCGTGTTTATCTTGGCATTCCCTACGGTTCTTCGACCGCGCCGAAACGCATGAGCGCCGCCAATCCAGCAAAGTTCTTGTTGCCGCAGGTGTCGAACGCCGGCAACGCGCTGACGGTGGATGTGTTTATCACATCGTTCCTGCCCGGTCTCGAGTCGCTCATTCAGTCTCCCATTCCTGGTCTGGATATCGCGACTGGCATCATCCGCACCACCGCCGTCACGCAGTTCACCTTTGCGTTTGACACGGCCTCTTCAAACCTGACCATGTTCCGGGTGATGCTGCAGTCGACGCAATCGTGGAATCTGTTTGGTACCAGCACGTCGCTCAAGTCGTATGTCCTTTATGTGGCTCGAGAGCCTCCTGCGACTTCCTTGACGGGCTATGTGAGCGGTGTCTTTGCCTTCAAGAGCGTGTCCAATTCGCGAGAAGTCACCGCGGAGGTTGGCCTGAATGTGCCCTTCCCGATTACCGCCACAAACCCTGTGACGTTCGCGTTGCCCCCGGCAACGGTGCCAGAGCGGGCGTTTACTGTCGGTCATCTCTACACCCTCGTCGGCGACCTGGCTCAAAGTGTCAAGCAGTTCTTCGAAGGCGGCTCTGGCAGCGGCGGCGTCTTTGGCGAGGGCTTTGACGTGCAAAAGATTCTGAACGTCTTTGCAGTGACCCAATGCCAAGTCGGCTTTGTGCGCAATCCAACGACCGGAGTCTCCTCGTTCCAAACCTTCTCCATCCGCATTGAAATGCTCGAGCCGTTCTCGTTCACCAACGGCGATTCCAACGCTGTCTTTAGCATTGCTCGTTCCGTTCTGGATTTCTCGTACAACCACACTGGTTTGTTCTCCTTTGGCGTTGATCCGACCAAGCAAACCGGCGCTCCAGATTCAGTGTTTACATCCAAGATCAAGGGCTTTGTGAGTGGTACCTTGGTTTTGGCTGGCACGCCAGTGTCGTCCACTGTCTACTTCCCGATGACACCGCTGCTGGCTCCTCCGATTGCATTTGTGCTGCCCCCTGCCAACGATCCGCAGGCGCTGACCGTAGCGCGCGTTTTGACCGTGCTGACTGCGGGCGAGCTCAACCTCGGGACTGAAGGTCCGAAGGCCCTGGATGCTTTCGCCTTGACTGAGCTTTCGCTCAAGTTTACGGGCGCGCTCTCGCGTGTGGCCTTCAATCTGACCATCGAAATGACCGATCCTTGGAGTTTCTTCAACGGCAAGCTCTCCATTTACGGCATTGCCCTTCGCGTCCGTCGATTCTACGAGCCCTCCAAGCTCAATTACGAGTACATTCAACAGCAAGCGTGCAAGTGTGTTCAACCAATCCACGAGGGCTATGTTCAAGGCTTTGTGTCGATTGGCAGCGGAGCTGTCGAGTTTGGCATCCGTGCTCCCTTCCCGCTCTCCACGTCGTACAATGGCAGCATCTATGCGGGCACACCTGTCGTTCTCATTCTGCCCGACACGTCGACGAAGCGTCTGACGCCGCTTGCCATGCTTGGCGTCTTGGCCAGTGAGCTCTCGAGCTCCTTCCCTGAAGATGGCTTGCTTGGTGACTTGAGCAAGATTTACGTCAAGGCGCTGAACTTCCAGGTGGTCCAAGGCAGCATGGAGAGTTTCCGTATGACGCTGAGAGTGGACCAGCTGTCGCTGTTCAGTGGACGGCTGGCCATCAACTTTGTCGAAATGGACTTGAACTCGTCCACCGTTCGTGTTGGCCAAGCCAAGCAGCGTGTCTACTCTGGTTTGATTACTGGCCAAGCGCGCTTTGCCGATCCGGGCGGTAGCGCGTTTGATGTGAGCGTGTTTGTTCCCTTCCCCGCAACGGCCTACCGCAACAGCTCGGTCTTTGGCTACGTCACGACGGTCGATGTTTCGAATCCCAACCGATTCTTGACCATCCGCGCACTCGTCTACACGCTGCTCAGCATTGACATTAACATCTTTTCGCTCCCGTTGGGTGATGGTGGCTCTATGTGGACTGCTCTCGGTGTGCAGACCGTTCGTTGGTCGTTCAACGACTTTGGCGTGCTCAACAATCTCTACGCCTACGTGCTCATGCAGACGTCCCTTCATCTCGGCCCAGTTTACTGTGGCCCCGGATCTCTGGCATTCACAATCACGTACGCTCCAGCCAACCCTCGAACCCCCACCAAGATGGTCACCAAGTTCAAGATCGAGGGCAGCTGTACGTTTGCCGGCGCTCCGCTTCGGGTGGATATCACATTCCCCAAGAAGGGCGCTGACAGCGTGCTTACTGCCGGACCAAACATCACCTCGATGACGGCGTCGTTCAGCAACGAGTTCAACCTCTGGGCATTGCGTCGTGACCACAACTTCAATGTGACGCTCGTCATGAACCGAACCATGGCCTACAACGAAGAGAATGACGCGTACTGCCTCCGCTGCGTGACTCGTCTGCTGGAGCCTACTTCCGACGTCTACTACACCCCGCCAGATGCACAAATCACCATGAACTGCTTTGGTGAGCGTGGCTCGGTCAATCCCTGGCTGGCAAACGAGGAGGATCTCGAAATGACCCGCGTGGAAGTGCCGTTCTCCAATTTCAAGGTTGCCAAGTTTATGCGATGCGCCATCTGTGTCCGCAAGGTGGGCGCCGACGGTGTTCTCGGCAAGACCAACTTTGGCTTGGACCAAAAGTCAGGCGCAGGCATCTACACGGTCGCTGGAACTCCAGCATTGACCACGGATTACATGTGTTCGGCCTATTCGCAGCCTCGTTACTTGAATGAAAACACTGAGACGTTCGGCAGTGGCGGCGATGCGCGCTCGGAAGCCGGCTGCAAGTACACTGCCTACCGACCCATTGTCGTCTCCCTCTCGGGCGATTCCACCTCCGCGTCTCGCACAGCAGTGGTTCAGCTGCCTACACGAGGCTTTACAGGTTGCGGTACCGACGCTGCTTGGGAGTTTGGCAAGACCACTCGTGGGGCTTCGATTTCGATTGGTGCTGTCAACATCACGCTGACTTTCCGTCAGGCCGGAGTCTATGATATCATGGTCGCCAAGAACTTTGTGACTGAAGTGTTTGTCATGGATGTCCAGTCGGTTCGCTACGTCAACGGCACTGTTCTCTTTGCTGGTATCATTCCTCGTGCGTACATTCAGTCCGAAAACCACATTTGCAACGTGGACACTGACTTGCGTTCGTGGCCGACCGATGCCTTTGTGATGCCCGATGGCATTCTCAATTGCACCACTGTCCGACCTCGCCAGCGAACGGCACTCAAAGGAAACGTGACCATGTACCTCAACACTGACTGCGACAAGTCCATCACGCCGTTCTGCCGATCCACTGGTATTTTCGGAACCACCAACTATGTCCCAAGCAACCCGATCCTGGATGTTTGGATTGGCTCTCTCGGCGGTTGCAATTCGTGGCGTTGTTGCTACTTCCTGAAGCTGACCCGGAAGGGCAGCTGGGATGGCAAGCTGACGCCCGATCCTGATCGTCAACGTGCTGCCGACAGTGGAAACGACATTTCTCTCGCTGATAACTATTGTACCACCGCATCGCTCTCTGGATTCTGCGCAGAATCGTGCCCTCGGCGCCTTGAATTGTACAAGAAGGTGTACAGGGTGTATTCCACAAAGTATGGTGGCAAAAACGCGTCTCTGGCTGACGCCTGGGACAAGTGCTACTTGACAACGTGCTCGCGCTGGTCCTGGGGTCCGACCTACTGGAAGAAGGAGACCAACTGCTTCAACTTTGTGTCCAACGTGCCCTTGGACGCGTCCCTTCAGAACGCCCATTTGAGCGTCGGCGAAAACAACATTACGATCAACCGGGCTTGTTCCACCAACAATTGCTTGCAAACGAGCGAGATGTATACCACGTTTGCAGAGGTGTTCAAGGCCAATTACACCAAGCCAATTGAAACGGTCGAGTCTGGTGGCACACAGCAATCTGAGAGCAAGCCACTCTTTGGTTCTCAGAATCCCACTCCTGTTTGGCAGTATGTTTACGAGCTGCACGGCCACACTACTCGAGGCAACATGACTGTTTGGGTGGATCAGAATGGTCTCAGCACGCGATCGGATGCTGTCGTCCGCACTCTCAAGGCGGCCATGATCTACAACCCGTCCGTCCTGCAGGTCGACCTCATGATCCCCGACTTTGTGCTGGACAACCCGAGCATCAAGTCCTCTTGCAAAGATGCCAACGGTATGGTCAGCGAGTTCTGCTTGTGCAAGGCGGCCAGGACCACGATGAACAAGCTCGTGTCCAAATGGAGTTACAGCTCGTGCGCCATGTACGTGAAGGACGTGCCCACTGAAATTGTCTGTCACAAGTACTGCGTGGACATCAACAAGAAGGTTGTGGTCGGCGAAACATGCAAGTCAGATCCTAATGCATGGAAGCCTCCGAACTGGAAGCCCCCGACCTTCTGGGAGGCGCTGTTTGGTCTCTAAACCACGCCGTGTGTGTGTCTGCTGTCTTGTTGTCTTTTCCCCTGAGTTTGTGTGTTTTTTGTTTTGATTCTTTCTTGTTCTTTTCTCCTTTTTCTTTGTTGCTCTTTTTCTTTGTTTGCTCTTTTTGTTTCTTCTTCTCCACATCCTGTCTTTTTCTGTCTTTTTGTGTGATGTTTTGTGTTTGTTGTTGCTTTGCTTTACTTTGTTTTGCTTTGTTTTGCTTTGTTTTGCTTTGTTTTGCTTTGGTTTTTGTTTGTTTGCTTCTTTGGTGAGCCGCATTTGCGCTCTCCCCCGTTCTTGTGCCATCTTTTTGTGCTAGTTTGGCACGCGAACAGCAACCTCGTCCCAATGGGTTGCTGCCGATTTGACAGCCATCCTGTCATGCATTGCGTTCTCTACATCGTTTGGGGCGATGGAACAGGATGCACTTGCTGCTCAGGATTGTGCAGTTTGATGATTTTTCCCCCCCCTGAGATCTCCTTTTGTAATTTTTTACTTTTTTGTTCGTTTTATTTCTCCTGTTGTGTTTTATTTCTGCTACAAATACATGCTTTCTGATATTATTCCACTCAACCAACAACGCTGTCAAAGTCGACCCGCAACAGCAATGAGAGACCAACGTCACGTTTCGCGAAGGACGTCAGATTGGTCGAAATAGTGGGCGATGAGCGTTATGATCAAGTCCGCGCCGGCAAGATGTTCCGAATTGTCCAAAGTCTCGTTGGGCTGATCAGCGAATGCCAGCATGGATCGCCACCCAACCAAACACAAACGAGTGCAAGTATGAGAGTTTCGAGGTCTGCGCGCAGCAGCTTGCAGTCAGCAAAACCCCGCCTCTTACCAATTTTCGGCGCTCTCTGAGCATGCTTCGAAGAAGCTCCCTCAAAATGAAGGCCGTCTCCATAGTAAATAGCCGATCGAGACAGACGAGTAGCGAGAAGCACCACTGGAGCCGCCGTACAATGACTGAATGGGGTTTGTGCGCCATATTCCAGCGTCCCATTTTGGCCAGCACGGTGCAAATAGTTTTCTGCGTGCACCACGAAGCAACCAACCAGCCAAGTGCCGAATGCAGCGTCAGATCAAAGATGCACGGCTACCAATCTCACAATCTCACAAAAAAAAAATTCCATTCGCACCTGATCCCAACTGCACAGCAGCTCGTAGGACGGATATGTCGCTGTGTCACGACTGCTCAGTTCATCATCGCCCAGGCACAGTTTCCGCCATGCCTCGTCGTTCGTCAGACTTGGCAGAGCGAAAGTTGAGCTTAACGCAGCCCCACCATTCAGCCGTTCTGCTCGTAGCAGATTCAGTTCCTAAAAGTGATCGACAAAAACCGATTCAAGTCGATGGGGGTTTGTGCATTGCATTGCATCGCGACAAGAAGCCACAAGAAGAGCTGGCGGCCTCTCAGATGGATACAAGCCCCTCCCACACAAAGTACTTACTCGACGTGCACATGCGAACATTCTGAGAACATTGAGTTGCCAAATCTCAGAAGGCGGCTGCCAAGTGGCGCACGACGCTTTGGAACTCTCAGCGCCAGTGTTCGCGCGTGTCTCATGGTTGAATGAAGCATCTCGATCGCAATGTTGCGGAGCTGCTGTTGTTTCAGGCTTGACGGTTCGGGCGATGACGACTGAGCGCGTTCGCCTCGCTTCGTGTCTGAGCGAAATGGAAAAAACAAACAAAAAAAAAACAAACAACAACAAACAACAAACAAGTTTGAACAAACATGAGATAACATCAAAGAAGAGAAACAGTGTCAATAATCATGTCAATAATCAGAGAGAGAGAGAGAGAGAGAGAGAGAGAGAGAGAGAGAGAGAGAGAGAGAGAGAGTGAAAGAGAGAGAGATTTCCATTGCAATTCCTCCTCCCTGCGTTCAACACGTACTGCACCCGTCGGAGGAACTGCTCGCCCGTCGTCGGCGGCTGGCTGAGATCATCGGTCAGATCTTGCTCGATCTGGAATGCGCGCGGCATGAGCTCGTCCGCCTCACTGTCGCTGTCGTCGCTGTCAATCTCAACCCGACTTTGCGACGACGCGCTCTCGTCCATTTTGTCGCAACAAGATTGATTCTAGCAAGGAAGACAAATAAATGACTAAAAACTGCATTGCATTTAGCACTGAAATTGACCAAAAAGGAGAAAACAAAAAGGCATTGTGAGGCAAAAGTGTTTCGTTCACTGTTGATCAACTTTGGAAACAAAGCTCGTGCGGACGGCAAACAGGAAAGGGATCTCAGCATTATTATCTTTTACTTTGCACAGGGCTATGAAAACACGCAACGGGGAAATTCACATGAATCTTGGACGGGGGAAAAAAAAAAACAAAAGATCGGAAGATCGGCACTTATTTGGGTGCGAGCTGCGGGCGGACGGTCAGCGCAAGAATTGTTGGTCGACTCCCAGCCTCAACAGGTGCAGCTGCCTGCGGCAAAGACTGCGGGGAGGTCTGTGCGATCGTGGCAGCCACAACGGCAAGTGTCATCTCTGCGTTCAGAACCTGGTTTGCGCACAGAATGTCGAGTGCGGTATCCGTGGGAAGGGAATATCTGGTAATGATGTACTTGCGAACGTGGTCCACTGTGGCGTTGGATGATACGCCGACGATGGATGGGCGGGCTGACTTCAAAAATTCGTCAGGCGCGGTGGGATCGCGAGCAATATGAAATCGGATGGAATGGCCTGCTTGTGGTCTCGCACCTGACACCGAATCTGCAGTATCAGCCGCAGACGCTGGGGCGGAGGAAGGTTGTCGAGTCGGTGTTGCAGTCGATGCAGCTGTAGACCGCTCGCTGGGAGCAGTTGAGGGCGTGCCTGCGATGCCTGCTGTACTCGAAGCAGAAGTGCTGTGTGTGGAGACAGGCGACGCTGCTGAGCGAGATGGCTCTGCGACTCGAGAAAGAGTTGCGACTGCGGCAGGGTGCGCGGAAGCCGTGCTGCTGCGAATGCCGTCGGGGTGAACGGGCGTGGTCGGGCTCGAGTTGACAAGACGCGGGCTGGCGACTGGTGGAGGGGGTGCCGGATAGGTCAGGAGCGGCGTCTTGGATTCGGTTTGCGGCGAAACAAGTTGTTGGAGCGGAGGAGTGGATACCGGAGGTGCTGCAGACGTTTCCACGGGTTGGATTGCTGAGCTTGAAGTGGAGCTTTCCGTCTGTACCGTAGACTGTGAAGGGCGAACAACATTGTTGCTCTGCTGAATGTCTCTCCCTTCAGGGGCCGACAGGGCATTTGCAATCAAGCGAGCGCGCTTCGTTTCCGGGGACTCAGAGTTGGCCAAATCAGACGCCGTCGCGGTTCGTTTGGCACCTTGCGATTGGTTGGTAGCCATGCTCACACGAAGAGTGCCGGCGTTGACATAGACTAAGGGGTGGTGAAGAGGTGTCGCGATCTCACGTGCGGCACTGGAGTTTGGCGGTGTTGCTGCTGCTGCTGCTGCTGCTGCTGCTGCTGGGGGTAGGTCAGCATCTCGGCGACGCAGGTCTGATGTTGAAGCTTGAGAGGCTGGCTTCGCCATCATGGACAGCGGCGACGGCGGAAATGGGGACGAATGGCTGTGCGAGCTGGTCAGAGCCGAAGCACTGGACTTTGCTGCTGCAGGTGCTGGCACTTGTCCATTTCCCGCACTTGAAGAAGAAGGTAGCTGAGCTGCTTGTGCGCTCGGTTGCAGCGGAGCTGCGGGACTGGGCGGCGTCGAAGGGATTTGGTCAGATCGAGGAGCCAGTGGCGGGTGCTGGATGGCTATCTGGGTGTCCTCCTGAGGCGTCTGGTTGGCTTTGTGAGGCGTAGGATCGCTCGGTCGTGTTCTTGAAGCTGAAAGGTCACTGCGTGCGGCCGACGCCAAGCCGTGTGACTGGTTATCGTCCGCCAAGGCATCGCATTGCTCGGGTCGATCCTGCTCGCTGGCTACCTGGGTGCTGTTGTGCGACGTGTGCGGTGTGCATGCCGCGTGTGGCGTTTGTGGAGCGTACAATGTGTCCAAAAATTGCTGGTGGCGGGCTAGCTCCTCGCGAACAACGTCGGGCAGCAAGAGTTGAAGAATATCTGCGAGCAGCCGATCTTGTTTCAAGCTGTGGTATGGGTTGTCGTACAGCGGGTGATCGCACTCTGGGCACAGGACTTGAATGTTTGGTAGCTTTTTTCGTGTGGCATTCCACCGTGTCGTGCGAATGTGTTTGACAATACACGACTTGCAAAACGGATGCATGCATTCGACAATCACTGTTGGAGTGACGCAGTACCTACAAAACAAAAAACAAAACAAGAACAAAAAACAAGAATCATAATGCAAAGTGAGCCTTTTTTTTTGCTCAGAATCTCAGATCTATTGCCATTTTTGTGGCTCTTTCTCTCTCTCTCTCTCTCTCTCTCTCTCCACTCGTATCAACCATCTATCTCTCTATCTCTCTATCTCTCCATCTCTCTCTCTCTCTCTCTCTCTCTCTCTCTCTCTCTATCTGTCTCTTTGAAAAGCTCACCCGAGGCAGATCCGGCAGACCAGCCACGGCGTCAGTGTGCGCAGCCGCACGCTCACTTTGCCGCCTTCCAAGAACTGCGGCGCGTCGTCGTCGTCGTCGTCGTCGTCATTGTCGTCGTCGTGGTGGTCGTCATTCTGTCCGTGCTGCGAGTGTGACTGGATCTGTGACTTGGACCGCGGAGTGCTGGCGCTGGCTGCGCTGGCGGCTTTGGCGGCTTTGGAGGAGTCTGCTCTTGATCCGGACGTCATTCACAGGCCTCAGAACCCCCCTCCTTTGCCTCTCGCCAATGTCACGCTTTGTTGGAGTTGGTTGCTGTTTGAAGGCAGGTGGAAGGCGAGCAGCGAGTCCGGCGTTGCAAGGAAGAGCTGGGTTGAGCGCGCTTTTGGTTGAAAAGCCTCAGAGTTAGTTGCTCAGAAAAGTGACAACAAAAAGAAAGAGTAGAAAAAACAAAATCACAACAAGATGAAGCAAATACGATAAGGCTGATCGCTCGTTTGTAGGGGATGTCTGTATTGTGTACTTTGTACTGTTTTGAAACTGCATTGAACAATGCATGCCCAATGGATCCACAGTCACGCTCGACTCCATCAAGCAGGAGACCAGCGATGCAGTTTCAAGTACGCAGCAATAATGTCCCCATACAATACAAGGGGGGGGGGTTTGCATTGAAGGCTCAGTGCAACACTCCATCGCAACTGCTCAGAATGCCTCAAACCTTTTGAAGAAGCTTGTCGTCTGAGCGATTGCTCCACACAATACAGTATATTACTCTATACTGAGCATTTTGCAGTCTCAGTCTCAGTTTCACACACACACACACTCTCTTTCCTATTCTTTCTCAGACTGCGAATGAGTTTGCCACCGCGCGTGCGACCTTCGTCCGACCTCGCCGACCGCTCCTTTGCGACGCTGACCCTGCGCGAGCGGCTTCCCGTCATTCTCACCCGTATCATCAGCATGCTCTCTGCGCGCGGTGCTCCAGCCAACGAGGTCTGCATTACAACTTGGAGGGGTTGAAGTGCTTCTACGACTCTACTCACTCACTCACACCCCAAGCTGACCTTACTGTTGGCTGGCTGTTGGTGAACAATGATACTCACATTGATTGAATAAATAGGCGAGCAAGGCACTGTTGGCCGAAATGGTCGCGCTCAAGTACGATTTGTGGCACAACAAGCCAATGCTGCCAGTCGCAGACGATCTGCACGACGCCGCCAAGTGGAGGGCGTACTTTGCTGCTGCTCTGGAAGCCGAAGCGCAAAATGGCGGCGCGTCGGCGGAGAGCAAGTCTGCTGCATGCTGGTCGTCGCTCGACATGTTGTATTCGGAGGGATACTTGTACCGCCGCATCCGCTCGTCCTGCCTCGTTACGGAGGGTTTGTTGGCGCTGACACCATTGCCAAACCCAGAGCCAACAACCACGTCTGCCAGTCACGGTGATGACGGCAAGCCACTTGCGCTGCCGCTCAACCTCGACGACGTGTTTGAGAGCGACAAGCGTACTGCGTTTGCTGCAGCCCAATCCAGCATCCTGGCCTTGTCTAGTCTGCTGACGAGCTCTCTCGAGGATTTGCAGCAGCCAGTCAGAAGAGCAGAGCTCCTGACGCAGCAGTTTATGCAAATGCTCGAGTTTTCGCTCTGGGGCAACAAGACAGATCTCTCCCTGCATCCGAGTGCGACCAACAAGGAGGAGCTGCTCAAAGAGTTGCAGTCGAGCGAGCTGTCGCAGCTCAACGCCCTTCGACCGGCGATTCTGGCCAACGCCGCGTCCGAGATCTGGGCACACATCCAGCTCCTCGACCAGCAACTGGCGCCCGAGTCCTGCGTGCGGTTTGACTTTGTGCTCGATAATGCTGGATACGAGCTCTTCACCGACCTGATTCTGGCCGAGTGGCTCACCAGCGCGCCACTCTTTGCGAGCGGCCGCAAGGTTGACGTCTACTTTCACGTCAAAGATTACGGCTGGTATGTCAGCGACGTTACCAAGCGCGACTTTCACTGGATGGTCAACCAGCTTGCTTGCTCCACCGAGCCCGTCGTGCATGCTCTAGGTCGGCGCTGGCGCGACGTGCGACTTGGCGACGCTACAGCCGCTGGACAAGGCAAATGGCACATTGTCGAGCACGAGTACTGGACGCTTCCAGGAGACTACCATGAGCTGCCCACGCTTGCCAGCGACCTCTACGCCACGCTGCAGCAGTCCAATCTCCTCATCTTCAAGGGCGATCTCAACTACCGCCGCTTGATTGGCGATCGTCTCTGGATTCCCACGACGCCATTCAGCACCGCGCTGCACACCTTCCATCCAGCCCCTCTCTGCACCCTCCGCACTCTGAAGGCAGAGGTTGTTGCAGGCCTTGCTCCCGGTGTTGCCAAGCGCACGGCCGAGCAGGACGCCGCCTGGTTGAGCAACGGCCGTTGGGCGTTGATTTCGTTTGACAAGTAGCCGCGTTTTTTCTTGTTCCACTTGTTTCGTTTGTGCTTTCTGTTCCTGTTCTAGTGTAGTTTGCCGCACTGCATACAATTGTACCAATACTCGTTCTTCCAACAAGCAGTTGCCCGCCCATTATTGTGGAACTCAGTCTTCCTTCTTTACTTGTTGTCGTCGATAGCAAAAACATGTCCTCCTCATCCGCCGTCGTGATTGTCACTGGCGCGTCGCGTGGCATTGGACTTGCGCTCGCCACCATTCTGGTGAAGGACTTGAACGCCCGCATTGTCATCAAGTAACGAGAACCAAAACCAAGTGTCTGAATGTTGAATGTTGCTGGTGAAGATGATTTTGACAGAATACAGCAGAATACAAGCAGAGGAGTGGACGACATGATGGGAAATTGGTCTGAAATGTGACACTGCGATTTTCTATTCTAATTCTTCTGAGATTTCTGAGATTTTTCCGAGAATTGAAAGCTCCCCTGCACGACTAACCTGGTGTGCTTTGCTCTGTTGCGCAGTGGTCGGACGGCCGGTGCGCTTGACGAACTCGCTGCCTCGCTCAACGCCCATCGCGCGGATAGCTGCGTTGCCGTGGCGGGCGATGTCGCCGACCGGACCATCGCCAAGCAGCTTGTCGACACGGCCATCCAGCGCTATGGCGCGATCGACGCCGTCGTCAACAACGCCGCACTGCTCGAGCCCGTCAAGCGCATTGCTGATGTCGATCCCGGCGAGTGGGCCGAGCTCATGCGTATCAACATCCAAGGCCCGCTCAATCTCACTCAGGTGCGCGCGCTCGTGTGTGTGTGTGTGCTCAGACTCTGACACACGCTGTCTCAGTTGCTCAGACACTATATGCTGCTGCTTTGAGCCTATGCTCAAAAATCATGATGCGTTTTGATGGATCTCACTTCCACCAATTCCTTTGCTTTGGTGCTTCAGTTGGCCATCCCGCACTTGCGAGCATCCAAGGGTCGCGTCGTGCATGTTAGCTCAGGCGCAGGTAAACAGAACACTGTGTGGTTGCTGTTCCAAGGAATTTTGGGAACTGAAATGATTGCTTGATTTTTCTGCGCCAAACAGCAACATCGCCGATGGTTGGAGCTGGCGCGTACTCTGTGTAAGTTGTCTGTCTTTCAATTGCTTGCTTTGGTTATACGTATCAGGTGCTTGTTATTCACGGATTGCTCTTGTGAATCTACCGTTGTGGAATAGCTCCAAGGCTGGGTTGAACATGTTCAGCCGTGTGTTGGCTGCCGAAGAGCCCGAAATCGTCTCTGTCGCCGTGAAGCCCGGTGTCGTTGACACCGCCATGCAAGTGACGACACGAGGCTCTTCAGGTTGGTAGTTGATTGCGAGGATGCTTTGAAAGTGCTCATCGGGAATCCGACACTCATCGATTTTTGCGATGTCTGGTTTCGTCCTTCTAGCGCAAGCTGTGCTCGACCCCGCAACGGCCGCTCGATTCATCAACCTCAAGTCATCGGGAGAAATTCTGCAGCCCGAGGTTCCTGCCCGAGCACTGGCAGTCGTGGCCCTGCGCGCCCCTTCATCGTTTAGCGGCGAATTCTTTGTTTGGAACGACGAGCGCATTGCTGCCCTGTACTAACTGGTTCAATGCCGCATTTAAAAGTAAACAATTACTTTCATTGACACGACTTATCACTGATCTACAGTGATGACAAACAACAACAACAACAACAACTTAATCGCTGGTCAAATAGCGAACAAGGCCGGGCCAGAGCGGGGAGCCAAGGCCTGTAGTTGGGTCGTAGCCAACAGCAGCCGGGAAGCCTGTGTGACAGAGAGGCGATTAGCATGTTGGAGGCAAGCAATGGTTCACAGCAAAAAAAAAAGAAAGTCTGTACCGTTGTCGCAGCAGAATCCACTCGATGAGCAGGCAGTGTTGCCGACCGTCACATCAAAGAACGCCTCGCCAGGGTGTTGAGCGGCGACTTGGTACAAGCTATGTTCGCAGTAGCAAAGTGGCGATTGAGTGAATAGGTTTAGCAGCAGAACAGCAACGATGAACGATACGAAAGGTGCTGGGTCGTCAGGAATCAACGCCAAGCCTTACCGAGTGTTGACAAAACCAAGCGAAGGCAAGCCCTTGTTCAATCGAATGTCGTTCAGGAGGCTGATAATGCCAGCAAAGGCAGGCGTCGAGGCAGAGGTGCCACCGACGTTCATCACCTTCCCGGCCGAGACGATCGGCACGTTGTCTGCGAGAGCGGCGACATCTGAAACAAAAAAAGGAGAAGCAAGTGAGAGACAAAACCCACACAAACCATTTCCTTCAAATGAAAAAAAAAACAAAAAAAAAAAACAATAACTCGAAATGAAATCATGCAACTATACCGGGATAGGCGCGGTTGGACGCGTTGTACGAGTTGGCCGGAGGAAGGCCTTGGGTGGTGCTGAGATAGTGAGCAACGGCAGCCTTTTGGTAGTCGGGCATCGGGAACTGCCACGAGAAGGCACCACCAGAGGCAGTCCACGCGATCGGAGCGGTCGGAGTGCCAGTGCCAGACCACTGCGTGCCACCGACACCCAAAAGGTACGGCGAGGCAGCCGGAAAGGTCGGAAAGTTCTTGGAGCAGCTGACGACATTCAGCGCGCGGCCAATCTTGTTGAGATCCGAGAAGGGCTCGAAGGAAAAGTGGCTGCCACCATCACCGGTGGCGGCGAGAATGGTGACGCCGCGCAGCGCAACCACCAGCAGCTCGTCGTTGATCTTGTCCGTCTCGTCTTGCGAAGTGTACATGCAGACCTGTCGCTGCGATTGCATGTACTGAATGCAGTCGTCATAGTTGAACTGCTTGCCGCCGGTGTTGGACACGGCATCGCGGCAGAGCGTGTCGCACGAGGCCCAGGAGAGCGAGCCAAGGGACATGGAGAGCACGTGAGGCAGAGTGCTTTGGTTGGAAAGAGTGGACACAAAGTTGAGCAGTGCCGGGCCGAATCCGGGACCCCACTCGGTCGACGAGTCGTTGTCAGTGTTTGCAATCAGCGTCTGCACGCCGACACCCATGCCGCTAATGTAGGTGCAGTCCAGAGTGCCTTCAATAAAGTTGTCGCCATTCACCGTGCCCTGCATGCCATAAGTGTGCAGGTTGTTGACAGTGTTGGGCACGTTGTACGTGCTGTAGAACTGAGCAAGGTCGGCGGGCGTGTAGCCAAACGTGCCAGTGCCCCAGACCATTTGGACCAGGGAAGTCTGTTGCAAGAAAAAAAAGAGATGGAGGTAAGAGTGAGGAAGGATAAGATGCAGGCGGGGGAGATTGACTGTGAGCAAGAGCGGGGCGCTTACGTTGGTAGCGACTTGAGTGAGGGGAATTTGGTACGCGGTCTTTTGAGCGTTCGGGTCGCCCAGAGCTCCGGCTTCAACACCGCCGAATCGCGAGTACTTCCAGTGCTCAGCAGCAGCCGGCGCAGCCTCGGTCTGTTCGCAAATAAACCAAGCAGACAAACAAAGAGACAAAACCATGAATGCATCCGTTCGCAACTACGATTGATGGCAACCTCAGGCCACTTACAAGACGAATCGGCTCAATCTCCATCAGCATGGTCGAGCGGGTCTGGACGATCGTGTGAATGAGGTGGCGCATGCCAACAGGAAGAGCCTCGGCCTGGCGTTCCAGGAGCACCTGGGCGGCCGAAATTGGCAAGCACGCATACGCGAATGTGCGAGTTTGAGACAGGGCAAAGGTCTTGGCGCCAAATGCGGCGAGTTGGCTGCGGTCAGAAGTTGCGGGCGAGGGTGAGTCTCTCAGAGTTTTCGACTTTACACCTTTTCTTTCAAGACTTACGAAGCCAGCGCGCGTTCGTTCTCGCGCGTGATGCCACCGATGGAGGCGATTTCGTCCACAGTCATGTGCTTGCCGTACTCTGCGTTCTCGGGGCTGGAGACGCTCATGAGGCGATCCTGCCAAGATGACAGATATCAAACAAACAAACAAAAAAAAAATCAGCAGACCGTCCAGCAATTCGATTGTGAGCAATCGTCCTCCACTTCTCCCACTTCCCCCACTTCCCCAGCCACCCACCACCAGAATAGACATTGCGTGCTACACACTTACACACTGAGCATATCAATAAAGAGCAAACGGAGATTAAAAAAAAACCACTCGAAAACTCCGAATTCACACGCAACCCGAAAATAACCAAAAAAAAAAAAAAAAAAAGACTCCGCATGACTCCGTTCCACCCACAGCAATTGCATCCAGAAACAAATTCACACATGATCGAATCGCAGCGGAAAGCACAGCAAGCAGGCTGCTGCGATGACGATGGTCAAAGTCGAGTGCTTATTAGTGTTATTTGGACTTGAGGGAAGAAGAGGAAGCTTGGAACACATACATGGAGCGCGGCCTTGTTCTGGAGGCGGAGCGCAAAAGTCATGTGCGCCAAGCCATTGTCCGTGCTGCACTCGGCGAGCTGCGGCCGAGCAACGAGCCGGCGGGTGGTGGCGAACGCGGACGATGCATCGAGGACCGCGAGATCGCCGAGCGGGGCGGCCGCAGCGCAGACGGCAAGGAGCGCCAGCACAAGAAGAGTGCGTTGCATTTTGCCGCTTGAAGAAAAAGAAAGAAGATGACTGCAGCCATCGCTTCGTTCCCAAACAAGGGTTGATCAGACAACAAAGTCAAACGAAAAGGATTACATTTGAAAAGAAAAACAATGCGGACCGCAACGATGCAACACCAAAGAACAGAGAGAGAGAGAGAGAGAGAGAGAGAGAGAGAGAGAGAGAGAGAGAGAGAGAGAGAGAGAGACAGAAAAACAGCCGTCATGATCGAAACACGTACGCTCACATCACCAGACAGCCCCATCCACCGCGCGATGGCGACTTGTCTGGCGCATGGGTAGAATGCTCGGCAGCTGCAAATGAAGGATCTGAATCCATTTCGTCACCGACAACATCAACATCCATATCATCTGCTGGAGGTTCTTGATTGTCATTGATGGCGTTGTTCCACGCGTCTTGCTTTGCAACGCGGAGCATATCTGTGACCGGAGCGAATGAGACACCCATCTCTTCCGAGCACTGAGCATTGGGAAGATGGTGGACGGGAGGCTGCAGCTCCTCATCCATGGCGGCGGGCGCGCTTGCTTCAGGGGCTGGCGAGGAGCGCTCTGCAAGTTGCTTGAGCGGTGACGCATGGCGGGACTGAGAACCACCAGCAGGATGGTCTTGCACCTCAACTCGGTACGCGTTTGCATTCAGCACACGGCCGCGTTCGGTGCAATCGTAAATGAAATGCTCGGTCACGAGCATAGGAAACTGCTTGAGCGTACTTGGCTTGAAACACATTCTGCTTTCAGGGGTGCCAGGAGTGGGTGCAGAGCGCCTTGTAACGCCGGACGGACCTTGAGCGCTCACGACACAGAGGTGCGCAAGCGAGGACGCGTTTTCGTTGTTGGGCAGTGAAGAAGAGGAGACAAAGTGCCCGCCATGGCGCTGAATCAGTGTCGTGAGGGAGACCAGTCCACCACCCAGCATGTGGCGCGCATCGATTTGGAAAACAAAGCCCGCCAGACAGTTGGAGGCCGGGGCACGTAGCGCCGCCTGAGCCTTGGCGCGAGTTGCGCTCGCTGCAACCGTGAGCTCGTCGTCTTCTTCCGCCCGCTGGCCAGAGACATCATCACCGTCATCGTCGTCGGTCTCAATCATCGGCATGGCGTCACGCAGCTGCTGGGCAAGGGCTTCCTTGCGCTCCTCGACAGCAGAGCCGGCAATGACACTGAGGCCTCCTGCCAACGACCGCTTCTCAAAGTGCACAATGTAGCACGGGAGAATGTGCGCAGAGTCGAAAACAACCAGCTCGCGCCCGTCGGGGCTGACGTGCGAGTCAAAGCCCGGCACGCGCTCTTGTCCGAGGATGAGCTCGGTGCAGCGATGCGACCGGCCGAGCAGAACTTGGCACACGAGCAGCTTGGTATGCCCCTCAATGTAGCCCATGGCGTAGCCAGGGTACTCGCTAAAGTAGGCGCCTCGCGCAAAAAAGCCATCGTCTGTGGTTGCCACAAAGTCGGGATCGCCAGGCATGCGGAAGCCCTGCTCACAAATCGACGTCAAATTGCTCGGGGACGTGCCGTGGAATGCCAGCACGGGGAGTGCCTCGGAGGGTCCGAGCTGATCTGCCATGTGTTGCCGCGCTTGCTGGAATCGACGGACAAGTCGCGGGGCGACGACATACTCGACGCAGGTGACGCAGTACTTGTACTCGTCCGGCTTGCTTGCCCGAGCTGGCGAAAGGTCGCTCAAGTCCAAGCCGTCGTCTGTGCTGCTGTTGCTGCTGCTGCTGCTGTCTTGATCTGGGATGGTTGCTTGCTGCGGTGCACTCGGTTTTGGAACTTGAGCGCGCTTGGCCTTCTGCTTCTTGGCACGCCGCAGCAGACGCTTGCGCTGGGATTTGGACAGCTTGTGGACGGCCGGTTCCGGCAAGGTTTCGTCCTCTTCATCGCCCGAGGTGCTCGCGATGAGCTCATCCGCGTCGTTCTGGCCATTTGGGTGTGTCGATGAAGAAGAAGAAGAAGTCGCTGGGTGGCTCACGGGAACATTGGTGGGCGTGGCTTCAAGCAAGCGATGAAACTGCGACTCCGCCATGCGAAAGTGCAGCTGCTCTGCGGTCGCAGCAAATGTCCGCGACGGATACAGCGGAAAGTAGGTCACCGAGTTGTCTGGGCGCGCAAGTGCCTCCTTTTCGCCCTCCACAAGCAGCAGGCCATTGTCAAGCGTCGCTCGCAAATCTTGAATCTCGTCGTTGCGCGCAGCCACCTGCTGCCGAGTGACCTCGAGCTCCTTGGAAAGGGCGCTGGCCTTCTGAATGACCAATCGTCGTTCGCTCTCGGACATGGCCGTGTACGAACGCAGCAGCAGACGTGGCGTGAGCGATGTGGCTTGGCGAACGATCGGCGAAATCAACGCAGCAGCAGCAGCAGCAGCAGCAGCCTCGCCTGAATCTTGTTCCACAAGTGTGGCTTTGCGCGCGAGTCGAGTAGCGGAGGAGGCGTGCCGGACAGATGCAGCCGGAGTGGACGCCGTCGGGTGAGCGAACTCGGCAAAGTGAAGCAAGTTGGTGCTGGTGCACGCCAGTCCATGGACACACGGTGGTAGAGATGCGTCAGTCGTTTGGTCAGACGTGCCGAGCTTGACGCGCTTGCGAGTTTCCGCGGACTTGTTCGAGCTGGAAGCAATCGATGGGAATCGCTGGGTAGGCTCGCCGTTGCCGTCTTGGTCGCTGGAGAGAGCTGAAACTCGGCGCTTGTTGCGGTGCTGATCTTGCACACTCGCTACATTTTCACCACCCTCGTGAGGAGATGATGATTGGACGAAAGTGGTCGACGAAGCGAGCAAGGTGGTTTTCGCATTGGCCATGCGAGGGGCGCGCACGCCGCCAGGCGGCAGGATGCGCACCCGAAACGGAAATGCCGTGATGAGCAGATGAAAGACATCGCCATCGTGCAGCTCGACCGCCGTGTTGGGGGGCAGCGGATCACACTCGGGCTGGGTGGCGGCAGCAGTCGAGTCGGCCGCGACGGCGTTGCCTGTTTGCACCGCGGCAGCACGGCTGACGGTGCACGGGTTGAGTCCATGCGCACAGGCAGAGAGTGCACCAGTCACTGGGTCAAACCGCAGCGTGGCTTGGCGTCTCGAGCAGCGATTGTCGCCGTTCAAGTCTGGGAGCGAATTTCGGCCAAGAACGACGCCTGAACACAGGATTGATCGACAGTTAGAACAAGCGAGGCGCTCGCACACACACACACACACACACATAGACACACACGGCAGACTTGTACCATGTTCAAGAGGCGGGATTTCAATGGACGGCTGGCTGCAGACGAACAAGGGCTCGAGCCAAGCGGTCCACGACATAGGTGGGGGTCGGGTCAAAAAGTCAACTCGGGACACGAAGGGGGGATCAGCGATGTTTGAGACACGAGTCTGTCCTGTTGCAGTTCAGACAGCGTGGAGTGAAAAGGGAGGGAGCGGAAAACAAAAAAGAAGGACTGGCAAAAAGAGTGAAATTGGCGCGAAAAATCATGAAACTTGAAACAAGAGTGAAACAAGGAAAATGAACGCCAATTGCTAGACAAAAACTAGACTGCAGCGAGTCAAACATGGGCGCCAAACAAGCATAGTCGCCTCTCCACGCCATGCATGGAGATGAGTGTTTTAATATTCAGAAATCAAGGCGGAACGCACGAACATTCGAATCGAGAGCACCAAAATATCGGTCACGCTGTCTGTCGAGCTAACTTTGTGGTCGTGCAACGTTACCCACATGCACACCAAATATCAAAATCAATGCTGAATTTATTAGTAGAGGTAAAATACAGCGGCAAGCGCAAGGTAGCTACAAAATTCAGTTGGGGTGTTCACTCGTCCACAATGACTTGACGGCAGTTAAAGCTCCAAAACGGTGCACACCAGCTCGCACGACTCTTCCAAGAAGTACACATCAACGACTCTTATTCATATAACGTTTGACATCCGAGAGGTGCCGCACACGTCCCCACAACCGGCTTGGCACGGCCGCCATCACCTGCATTTGTGCATCACGGCGCAAGTCAGCACTACTCGCACCGTCCATCTCTAACACAAAAGAAATTACTGCAAAATTAAATTTACCATGTCGCAGAGTTTGTGGCTGAGGGCTGCGCGATGATCCATGCGCTGCCAGAGGACGAGAATGAGGGCGTCAAATTGACGCAACGCTTCCCTCCACTTTTGCCATTCCGTGTAGTTTGGGCCAGCGCCGGCCTTCAAGGTTTCAGCCGTAATGTCAGGCTCACAGCCAATGTGGAAGCCAACGACATGGAGCTTGCCGATCTGTGCACAATGACGCAAGAGGCGGCGTAATTGCGTTGAGTCGAGAATTATCAATTCCAAGCGAATGCAAACGGAAGAGTGGTGTCCCCGGTTCTTCTTACCCCTTTGTCTTCTTCCATGACATGAGCAAGGTGTCTGTGAGAAGGTCAGCAAGTGGAAGATCACGTGAGGATTACAACGGTCGTGTCGTCCGAAACCGATTGCTCTTGTCCGCTTACAGCATTGCAAAGAAGTTCGCCCTGGTGAACTCGTGAGCTTGGAGTTGAGCTCGGCAAAAGTAGACAAACACAGCGGCAACCATGTACTGGGCAACGCAACCGTACACGCACAAAACCCGCCCTTGTCAGGATGAGCAACCACCATCCATCGTATTTCTGAAAGCGCCAGTTTGTGCGAATGAGGTCTCACGTTATCAGTGTACTCGCTGAGAGAGAGAAACTGGCAAATATCTTCGGATTCCTCTGTGAGAAGGGGAAAGAAAAACGAGAGACGCAAGCAAAAATCAAATCAGAGACAAAACAACGCTCCGAGCCAGATGCATTCCGTTTCATGCGCCATACCAACAAAGCGCAAGAAGTCCTTTAGCTTTTGGACATGTTCTGGTAACGAGAAGTCCCGCCCAAACGCCAAACACGGTGAGACCTTTCAAAAAGACATCGTTGGCCGAAACGGCGATTGTCGACCATTGAGCAAATCACATTACCACTGGACAACGTCGTCTTCGATGACGCTGCAACCTCTGGATCATCATGCAAGGGCTGCGGCACGGTGGCTGCGGGGATTTCGGCAGCAGGTACAGCGCGAGCTGGAGCTGGAGCTGGACGGGCGCGAGGACTTGGAATTGCCGGCATGGACGGCACAGTCTGTTCCGCTTGAACATCAAACACCAGCCTACGGATGGTCTTGGAGGTAGGATCCAGACGAGATAGCTTACGAGGACGGGCTGCCTTGACTGGGCTGGGCGCCACGAGAGGAATCGCGGTCGACTCAACGTTGCGCGAGGTCGTGGACGCTCGCGGCTGGGGAACGCGGCGAACCTGACTCTGCAAGCTACTGCCTCGAGACTCAGCAGTGGTGGTCGTCGTATCTCTGAGTGATGCACTCACTCCGGTTGGTCTGGCAGGCGGCAGGGTCGGCACCTTCGCAGAATCCGCCGCAAAGTACGCTGCCAGAGGCAGCTCGTCGGCCGAACGCGCGCTTGTGGTAGTGCTGGACTTGAGTAGGACGGATGGCTCATCAGCGAATAGAGGGAGGGGAGAGAGCGTCAATCCGTCCCGATTGGAAGGCACCGCTTGCTCGTTCCTGTGCGAAAGCGCTTCGATGACTTGGGCGGCCGTGCTGGTCGACGCAGACGATGAGTACTGCTCAGCCACGTAGGGCATGCTTTCCATTCCTCGCAGTGTCGTCGGCATGGCACCGTTCGACGCGGGCGCCAAGGGAGCAAAATGACTTGGCGGGAAACCCAGCGAGGGCGCCAATGGTCGACCAGAATGTCTCGCAGACTGCAGCCCAGCAGCAGGACCATACGCTTGTAACTTGGCTCCAAAGGTTGGATGCGTGATGAAAGCACGCTGCGGCTGCGCTTGCATGCTCTTTTGGCTTGAACCTCGCACAAGCGGCTGGCGATCGTGCTGCTCAGCGTTTGGCACTCGCTGTTGCGCGTGTTGCTGGTGATGTTGCACTTGCTGCTGCTGGCGCTGCGGGTGCACACGCGTTTGTGGTCCTGTCTCCTGCCAATGGACTGGGTTTGAGGATTGGCGCGCATCGGTTGGAAACGCGTTCACGCTCTCGGTCGTCGCACCGCCTTGAAGCAACAGCGCAGCCGAGTACGATACTGACGCTGGATCCTCCTGACCGAAGAAGGTGTCTGGACTGGTCAGTCGAATGGCAGGCAGCGGCGGTGCGTTGTTGGAGACCAATGCTGAATTGGCGTTCATCTTGGATGGCTCCCGCCAAATCCACGCTGGCGGCTGCGTCTGCGTCTGCTGCGGCGCCTTTGCGCCGGTGCCGTGATGCAGTGACGGATGCAAACCCGGCATAGGACGATCGTAGCGCGTCGCGTGTTGCCACGTAGCGGCGGCGGATGAGGACGACGGGACGGGCGACGATCCGGTCGACTGTTGGCGGGAAAGTTGAAACATGACAATGAAACCCAAGTTGTTTCGAGATGGCTGGCTGGAACAAAACGAAATGCAATACTGACTGAGCATGTTCTAAATTCGTCAATCTCGAAGCATTTGTTCATCTTTGACAATTCGGCACGAGATCGCAACACAAGCGACGAGGGATGCACAACCAAATCGTTTGTTTTGTCTGTCAGCCCATTGCGTTCAGCCTTTTGGCGGTTTTATAACTTCAAACACGACAAAACAACCTCCCATATCACCATATCAGATCCATGTTGGATGCACAAAGGGCAGAATGCAGAGAACGCAGAAAATCCACGACAATGGCTTTTTCAATGCAACAATGGCTCTGACAGTTGTTTGTTTCATCCAATTCAACAGCCCGAAAACTCAGTCTTGCTTCTTATTATTTAGTTTTGGTCGCAGTTGATCATTTATCACTTTTTTTTTTGTTATGCTGAGATTGGTCGACGCTCACGTCCATCTTGCGTACCCTGATTTCGCGCACGACGCGGCCAGCGTGGTGGAGCGCGCCAAAGCACACGGCGTCGCCGCTGCTCTCTGCGTCTCTGTCAATCACCACGATGCACCCAGGTACACCCAGACGCGGGAGACGGGGTGGCAACAGCGAAATCACGCAATCCGCACCGTTGCATAATGCGAAATTTACGCACCTCTGCTACATTTACAATTGGATGGGTTTGGTTCACGCCGCGCGCGTCGAATTCACTCAAAACTACCTGCTTGCTCATTCTCTTGTCGCATCTTGTTCGCAGAGTGCTCGAGTTGGCTGCGGCGCATCCCGAGTTTGCCGCGCCATGTCTGGGAATCCACCCGGTGCAGCACGAAGAGAGCGGCGTGCCACGCCCAGTCCGACCCGAAGAGACCGCCGCCATGATGGTGCTGCTCGAGAAGCACGCTGATGTGCTTGTTGCTGTGGGTGAGATTGGGCTCGATTACAGTCCTTGGATTCTGCGTGGCGAGGACTATCGCCTCAAAAAGCTCGAACCGACTGCCGAAATTGTCACCGTCGAGTCGTCGACTGCCGCAAGTGCTGATCCCAACGAGCGGGAGCGTATTGCCAAGGCCAACCAGATTGCCGCCTTTCGAGAGCAAGTTTTGTTTGCCAAGGCCCATGGTTTGCCCGTGAATGTGCATTCCCGCAACGCCGGCAAGTACGTCGTCGAGATGCTGGCCGAATTGCAGGCGGACAAGGTCTTGCTCCATGCATTTGACGGATCTGCGGCCGTGGCCAAGCGCGCTGTTGCCCTGGGCTACTGCTTTTCCGTTCCACCAAACGTGGTTCGCTCTCCTCACTTTCAGCAGGTTGTCGCGACCATCCCCATCGAGAACTTGCTTCTTGAGACCGATGCTCCAGCGCTGGCACCACTGCCAAAGCCTGCTGCAGCTGCAGGTGCCGACGCAAGTGCTGGAGACTGCTGCGGCGCGCCTGCCAGCTCGAGTCAAGCAGACAATGTCAAAGCCGAAGAAGCTGTCGCGAGCCAGAGCGGCAGTTCTCCAGCTACCGCTACTACCACAGCCACATCCTCTTCGTCGTCCTCGTTAGCGTCGTCATCGAAGGGGAAAGGCAGTTCGAGTGGCAAAGCGTCCAGTAAGGCTTCCAAGGCTTCAGCCGCACCGCCGTTGGCCTTTGACGATTTGGTGCCACCAGTACCAGACCCTGCCCGAAACGAACCCGCCAATGTGTATTTATCTGCACAGGCGGTTGCTCGCATCAAGGTAAGGGGTTGCGGGTTGGTAGTTTGGTCTTTTTGTACTTTTATTCACAACTTGCTCGACTTGCGCAGAACATCCCGGTGGAGGAGGTCGTCCGCATTACCACCGCCAACGCCATTCGAATCTTCCCAAAGCTCGCCCGTCTTCTGGCGTAGGCGCGTCTGTCTGTCGGCACGCTTTGAGTGAGCTGTTTCTCGATTCTTGTTTTTTTTTTTTTTTTTTTTTGGCGATTTGTGTTTGATTCATGAGAATTGTTCGATAAAAGTCATTCAGTTACGATTTCCCTTCCGACCGCAGCTCTTATTCACTGTTCTCCCATTTTTCCATCACAATTTTCCACTCTTTCTTCAAAACTCAGAAATTATTTTTTTTATTTTTTTGAATTTTCAATTTTTTTCTCTTTTTTTCCCTAAAATCACACCGCTGCAATTGTTTTGACCAATGTCTGCAGCAGTGCTTCTGCTCGAGGCGGCCAAGATTCTTGCTGCCAGCAAGCAGGATGGCAGCGGCAGCGGCAGCAGCGACGAGGAGCCGAATAACCACAGCAGCGGCAATAACAATGGCAACAACGGCAGCCAGCCGACCACCTCAGCAGCAACAGCAGCAGCAGCAGTAGCAGGTGCCAACACTGGCATGACTGCAATCGCTCCGGTGACTGGAATGGCTGGAATGGCTCCATTGAATGGGTCGCAGCAGCAGCAGGAGGCGTACAATTTGCCAGGACAACCACCACAACCACTACGACCACCACCACATCCCGCAATGCCAGGGAGCAACACAATGCAGACGACAGCAATGATGATGCCGCCGCCGCCGCCGCTGCTGCCAGCGCAGTTTGCACGGAGCGCTGTGCCGCTGTTCGACCCGTATCTCCATCGCAAGCAGCAGCAATTGCAGCAGCCCCAACTGCCGTACGATGCTGCCCATGCGCTTCTTCCTCCTCCTCTTCAGCACGACCAATACGCAGGACTCGGAGGCATGACAGGCACGCGAGTGCGCGCGTCGGCGTCCTTCTCTGGCTTTGGCTCTACCGCAAATTACAACCCGAACGGGCCGAGCGCACCTGACTTGAACAATAGTGGTGGTGCACGAGGTATAATGGTCTCTGGAGCCGGTGGTGCGTTTCCACGCATGTCGCCGAACGAGCTTGGCGGGAAGCGGTCGCGAGCGGCAAGCATGAGCGCCGGCGACTCGCCCGCCAGCGGCGGCGGATTCTCGCCAGCCTCCTCCATCGGCGGCGGCGGGAGCAGCACGAGTGGCACACAGTGGGTGAAAAACCGCGAAACACACAATCTGCTCGAGAAAAACCGCCGAGCACACCTCAAGGACTGCTTCACTGCACTCAAGGACGCGATTCCAGAGATTGCCAACAACCCCAAGACGTCCACCGTCGCCATCCTGCAGCACGCACAAAATTTCATTGTCAAGCTGCAGTTCATGACGGATTCCGTCGTTGCGAACATTAACGCCTTCCAGCAGCACAACCAACAGGCGATGGCGTTGCTCCAGCAGCACATGAGCGCCGAAGAGTACGAGCAGGTTGTTCGACACGTCGCCTCCATGGCACCAGACGGCCCAGCTTCCACCCCAGCAGCCGGTCGTGGTGCATCCAACGGACGGATTGCAGCCAAGCGCTCCGCCACGGCCACATTTTCGGGCTCTGACTCCGACGAGGACAAACCCGAGCATGTAGCCAGGAAAGCACGACAGAGCCATGCAGGTCGGGTTGGTGGTGCTGCCAAGCCATCGAACGGCCGCGGTGGCGTAGCGAAAGATCCCACTCGAGCAGTCGTCGGGGACTTGATGATCAACCCGCACCAGTTTGCGCTGACCACCTCGACCATGACTTCCAAGCACCAGATGGACCGTTCGCTTGCGAATCGGCGGCGTCGCACGCAATCTTTCGCAGCGGACACGACACTTTCACGTCAGCGCGAACGCTCAGTTCAGCTGCGAGCGCCTTCGCCAGCACCATCCGAAAATTCAGAGGCGCCGTCTTCTCCCTCATCGCCGTTGTCCACCTCCTTCAATGTCGACATTGAAGGATCGAGCGAGTCTGAAGACTCTCCACAAAGCACGAGCGAAGCAGGAGGTACTCATGCCTGTTCATTGAAGATGATATGATTTTATCATTTTTTATGGTTTGGAGAGTCGCGCTCACACAACCTCGTTCGTTTCGCTTGTATGTTTTGGGGCAGATGCAGAGCAAGTCCGCAAGAAGCCCAGGCGGTTGGAGGCTTGAACAACATCGCAAAACCCCACTCTCCAAATCGCCCAGCGTAGTGTCTTTGCCAACTGTTGATCGCTGTTCATAATTGTCAATATCGAAACATTTTTTTTTTTTTGGAGAAAAGCCCAATTTCTTTGAGGGTGACAAAAAAAAAAATCACGGTCAATCCACAACGAGCAACTTTGCTTGAGCCACGATGGTTTCAACATGTGTCCATTATTGCTCACACACCTCGACGCTGCGCAAGCAAAACGAAACACACCAAAAACAAAAAAGCAAAATGAGTGCAGCTGTCAGACGAGGAGAATCAAAAGAACCACATGAAAAATTCAACCAAATACAAGAAAACGTACTAGTTTGAAGGGAAAAGACCGACGCGGCCATCGAGGTCTCCTTGGTACCAGCCTGAATCGATGCAAACAAACACCAATGAGATCAAGCTCAACCAACAACAACAACAACAACAACCACGACGACAACAAAAGCAATCCGCCTCTTTGTTTCGGACGATCGCTGTACCTTCGGAAACTTCGGTGCAGTTGTAAATGTAAACGTCGGGATCGAACTGAAGCTCGTCCTCGCCGCCCTCGTGGTAGTCGTACAGGGTGCGAACAGTGAAACCCGTGGCTTCCGCGTACGCCTCGCCACCTTCGGCGGGATAGGCCTCTTCGGCATAGCCTTCCTCAGCGTACGCCTCAGCAGGTTGCTCCTCGTACTGGGCAGCGGCGGCGGCAGCCTCAGCCTCAGCAGCAGCCTCAGCCTCCGCGGCAGCAGCAGCCTCAGCCTCAGCGGCAGCCTGGGCCTCAGCCTCAGCGGCAGCCTGGGCCTCAGCTTCAGCAGCAGCCTGCTCCTCGGCAGCAATGCGATCGGCCTCCGCCTGGGCTTCCGCCTCAGCGCGCTCAGCCTCAGCACGGGCCTCGGCTTCCTGACGAGCACGCTCCGCAGCCGAGGGGCCAGCGGGCTTGGCTGCCGGTGGGGGCGCGGCCTTGGGTGCCGGCGCAGGGGCAGGCTTGGCAGCAGGAGCAGGGGCAGGCTTAGCAGCAGGAGCCGGAGCGGGGGCAGCAGCCTTTGCTTTTGCGGTGCGTTCAGCCTCCTACGTGATAGATGAGAACGAGCGGCAAGCAAACAAATTCAGGAATTGTCAAAAAGCGATGAACACCTCCGCACGTAAAATCACAATTAAAAAAAAAACCGTACAGCTTCACGCTCGGCAGCTTCCTTGGCAGCTCGGGCGGCGCGCTCCTCAGCCACACGCGATGCACTGTCTGAGGCACCGCTGCCGTCAAAGCGGTTCTTAAACGAGGAAGCGTTGCCTGCAGTAATCTTGGGCTTTTCGTACACCGAGCCCTGCGCACACACGGCGATCGGTTTTCAAGTGAGATGGTTCCAGCAAGGGGGCAGGCTCATGATATCAACGTCACAGCACAACAAAACGAGAAGACGTACAACAGCTGCAGCGGGAGCCTCAGCCTTCGGCTTCTCCTTGTGGACCGAGTAGAACGAGCCAGACGACTCGCGGACCTTCTTCATGATGGTCGCGGGATCCACATCAGCCTCACCGCGGGCATTGATTTGGATGTGGAAGCCCTGAGAGAGTCACGAGCGAACAAACGAACGAAACAAACGAACGAAATGAATATTTCGACCAGAAACAGCATTTCTTGATCCCAGGGACGTACCGAAAACATCTTGGTAATGTCAGAGAGATGGGACGCAGCCAGACCCTTCTTGGTAGGCTCGACACCATCGCCAGTCTGCTCAAAAGCAAAGGGACAAGAAAAGATCGAATCAGTGAATTTCAAGGCTCTCCAAGCCAGCGAAAACACTGCAATCCATCCTGTGATCGATCTCGGTTCAATACGCACGTAGGAGATGAAGATGATCTTTGGGAGCTCGGTCTTCTCGTCAATGACTCGGCAGACGGCGTACTGGACGCGACCTTCGTTGAACTCCTCCTTGAGCTCCTCGAGACCGCCCTCTGGAGCAATAAAACAACCAAAACCAAACCAAAATTCAACATTCACAACAAGTTAGTCAAAATCACAATCACTGTTGAAAGACTTGAGTTTTGGTTTTCCATACAATTTTCAATGCAACGTTCAAAATTCAATGCAAATTCAATAGAAATTGACAAAAACAAAAGATTTTTTTTTTTTTTTGTTTGAGTTTCCTGTTTCAGGTTTTTTTTTCTTTCTTTTTTTTTTTCCGTGCCGTTCGTTGTTTGAAGCGGCAAACAAGGAGATTCGCGTCCCCGCCTCGCGGTCTGGCTCACATCCGCTCCATCAACAACGCCAGCCTTCCTCTCGCAGTGTGTGGCTTCGACCAGCCGAAGCCAAGACAAAACAAATAAAAAATAAAAAAAATAAAAAAAATAAAAAATAAAAAAATAATAAAAAAAGATAGAAAATTCAATGTTTGATTCTTCTATTGTTCGTGTTGATGTGTGAGTGGATTGGGGTTGAGAGTGCATGAGCGGATGATCCTACCGCCAGTGGACTCGACCTTGAGATCGAACGTCTTGGGAACGTAGCCGAACAGCGCCCTGCCGAGCAACAGTAGAAGCGACGCAGAGATGAGCTCAAAACCAATGGCAATGACAATGACCACAGATCACACTGCTCCCCTCCTTCGTCTCCATAGGGACAGATGATGGATAGAATGAAGAGACTAGCAAGATGGGGGACCCCTCACCAGTTGGTGCTGGACTTGACGTCGCGGACCTCGTTCCAGGCCTCCATCAGCGTCGAAGTGTTTGCCTTCAGATTGATGCCAGTGCTCATTCTGTGCCAGTGTTGTCAAAATAAGAAGACTGAGCTATCATTGCTATTATATGAGAACAAGATGGATTTCGAGCAGATCAGATCAGAACCGATCAGATCAAGGCAGGCAGTCCTCTTACTGCGTTACCATCGATGAGCAGCAGCAAACGAGCGCACAAGCAAGAAGATCCACCATCAGAGGAATTAGCCGCACCCAAGCGATGCAAGATTGACTCGTCATCGGATGATCCAATGGATGATGACGGTAGCACGAGCAGTAGTAGGACGACAAGCAATGGAGCACCAGTCCGTAACATGTGCGGCGACCTCCGCGTGAATCCATTCTACGAGGGCGCAGCGTTCGTAGAGGCCACCCGCGCGCTACTCGATGAAAACAAGACATGCGTGTTCAACGTCGAGAGTGGCCAGACTGTCGTTGTGGGCTGCGGGACGGACGATGCGCTCGAGCATCTCGCTCGGGCTGAGCAATCCACCGCGGTCGGACTTGCGCACCCGTTCCATTGCTGTAGTCTGCCGCTGTTCCTGGATGCACTGCCGAATAGCACGACTCATTCGTCGGAGATCGATGCGCAGCAGCGACAGAGCGGCTTGGAACACGCAGCAGACAGCCCAGCGACGCACGCGTACTTGGCGCAGTTGGAAGCCACTCTGCTCTGCCAGCCGTTGCGACGCAAGAACAACGACCTGTACAACTTTCGCCAGAGCGACGACCTCAAGAACATGGATGCGGAAGCTCTTCCGGTGCTCAAGCCGATCATGGATGTGCTCCAAGGACCCGTGCGCGCGTTGCTCGCCTCCATCACTGGGATTGAGCTCAATTCCAACGTCGCCATGACCTTTTCGAGCTATGCACAGTCAGGTATGTCGCGGTCTAGTTGCTTGTGGTTTGCGTCTGCCTACTCCTCTATGTCTGACTTTTTTTTTTTTCTCCGATTCGCCGATGAACGCACTCCACACACACCACTTTTGCCAGACGTCCTGCTGTGCCACGACGACGAACTGGACGAGCGACGCATTGCCTTCATCCTCTACTTGTCACCAAATTGGAACGCTGCCGTGGACGGTGGCGCGCTTGATCTGTTTGACAACAACCCGGCGACAAACGCACCCACGTCGATTGTCGCCTCGTTGTGGCCCAGGTGGAACTCGTTCAATTTCTTTCCAGTGACCGAGACCTCTCATCACCAGGTAGCGGAGGTCTTTTCGTCCTCCAAAGCGAGAAATTCCATCAACGGCTGGTTTCACGGGCCCCCGCTCCACCGCCAAGCACCCATGTTTGAGCCTCGCCTTCCCCAAATTCAGCTGGGTCCAAAGCCGCTGGAGGACGACAACCTGCTGCTATCTGAGTGGCTCAACCCAGTGTACCTTAAGGCCCAATCCCGCGTGCGCGTGCACGAACAGTTTGTACGCGAGTCGAGCATCAACCTGCAGCAGTTTCTGCGCGCTGAAGTGCTTGGCCCGCTGATGGCCCAGCTCTGGCAGCTGTCAAATCAGCGCAATCGCGCCCACGGCTCCGTCTGGCAAGCTGTGGGCCCGCCGCACAAGAGGTCGTATGACACCCTGGCCGACAGCGATGCCATCATGCCAACCTCCCCACTCGGCCGGTACTTGCGGTTTTTGCGTTCACACGCCTTCCGCGGGCTCCTTGCTGAGCTCACCGGCCTTGATCGCCTCGAGTCATTCAACGCCCGAGAATTGCTGCGACGGGTGCAGTCTGGCTGCTACACGCTCATCGACGACGGCGACACTGCCGAGGTCGCTCCTGCCCTGGACGTGTTCTTGTTTCTCCCTGGTCTTGAAACAATGCACAGCAACGCCGAAGTCGTGTGGGACACGGCCTACGGCGGCTGGATTAGCTACCTGGCGCGCGACCAAGACGAGGAGCTCATCACCGTGATGCCCACCGCCAACTCTCTTTCGCTCGTCTATCGCACCGAAGATGCGCTGCGTTTTGTCAAGTATGTGAACAGTACCTGTCCGCATTCGTACCTGTGCTCTGCGCTATCCTACGTGGAGTCTGAGGAGCAAGCGGCGGAGTGACGATGCTTTTTTGTTATTTTGTTATTCTTTAATATCCTGTACTGTAGTCTTCCCTGCCACAAATCCCTCATCTTCTTTCCAGAAGCACGCGCGCACTTTGATCGATTGCAATTCCTGAACTTTTCAAAGATCCGAGCTCTGGTTGATCATCTTTCGCCATCTCATCCCGGTGATCTGTCGCTGTTTCCACTTTATTCCTATGATCACATCGTCCGATTCACTCGCTGCATTTATTTTTCCCACTCATTCTTTTTTTTCTCTCTTTGATTCCATCTTTTGTTGTCTGATCGATGAAGCGTCGCCTTGAAATCGACCCCTCTGAAGTTGAAATGGACAAGGCCACTGCATCGACCAGCAAGCGGTCGTCCCCGTACGAACCACCACAGCTCACCGCCTCTCACATTGAACAACCAGTGGACCTCTCTTTGTGCATCTATGGGGTGGGGGGCGTTTGGCTGGGGGGGGGATGCATTGGGCCCCCGTGTGTGTTTGGCCCCCTCGTCCACGTGTGGCCTTTTGCAGCTCAATGCATTTTGGCATTTGAAGCCACACTCAGAAGAGGGCTGCCTGCAACAGAACAATACAACGTCGTATCGAACATCACTCGTGCTCTTTTGTCAACAGGGCTTGTCGCTGGTCTCCGCTGAGCAAAGTCAGAGCTCAAGGAGACGGAAAGTGGACGTCGGCTTGTCGACCAAATGTCCTTCGCGTCTTGTTCCTTGTCACACGACTTTTATTGTGATTTGTGAACATTGAGTACAAGGCATTGAAGGGCTGGAAGTTGGGCGAGGTGGCGACTCTGAATGCGAGGGGGGAGATTCCGACCCCGGTTACACAATCCACTCACTGTGACTTGAAATCCTCTTTGTAATCACTCCTCTTACTTTTTGTTTGAACTTGCACAACACGATGACGATGACTTTGATGGATTGCAGAGACGTGAGCGACGACGCGGTGCCGTCGCATATCAATCCGCTGACCAAGCGTGTCTTCTCGGAAAAGTACAAGAAGATCCTCGAGAAGCGTCTCAAGCTGCCCGTGTGGGAGTACCGCCAGCAGTTTATTCGTCTGTTCAACGAGAACCAGATCATGGTGCTGGTCGGTGAGACGGGCTCGGGCAAGACCACGCAAATCCCGCAGTGGTGCATGGAGGAGGTGCTCAAGTACGCGCCTCAGGGTCAGGGCGTTGCCTGCACGCAGCCTCGTCGTGTTGCTGCCATGAGTGTTGCTGCCCGTGTGGCCGATGAGCTTGACGTCACGCTCGGCGAAGAGGTTGGCTATTCCATCCGTTTCGAGGACTTGACCTCGCCGAAGACTGTTCTCAAGTACATGACCGACGGTATGCTTTTGCGCGAGGCCATGACCGACCCTCAGCTTCGTCGCTACGGTTGCATTCTGCTCGACGAGGCGCACGAACGCACGCTTGCCACAGACATTCTCATGGGTTTGCTGAAGGAGGTAAAAGAGTGTGTGATTTGTTCTGTTTAAGCAAAGTGATCGATGATGGATGGTGATCGAGTCCATTGACCCCCTCTGTGTTACTTTCTCTCTCTCTCTCCATCTCCATAGATTTGCGCCAAGCGCCCCGACTTGAAGCTTGTGGTGATGAGTGCTACGCTCGATGCCGGCAAATTCCAGAAGTACTTTAACAGCTGCCCGTTGATGGTAAGGATTGCCGCTTTTTTTGTTTCGATTTCCTACGTGACTGCTTTCTCGTCAAATGGCCCTTGCAATCCAACATATCATTGTGTCGTCTTTGCTTTTTTGCTTTTTCGCTTTTCCTTTTCTCTTTAGACTGTTCCTGGTCGTACTTTCCCCGTCGAGGTCTTTTACACAAAGGAGCCCGAGCGCGACTACCTCGAAGCCGCCATTCGCACAGTTGTTGAAATCCATACCTGCGATGACCGCGGTGACATTCTCGTCTTCCTTACGGGCGAGGAGGAAATTGAAGACGCTTGCCGCAAAATCCAGCAGGAGATTGAAAACATTTCGAGCTCGGGTCCCGTCAAAGTTGTGCCTCTGTACTCTACGCTGCCACCACAGCAGCAGCAGCGCATTTTCGACGAAGCGCCCGCCGATTCGCCCTCTGGCGCCTTTGGCCGCAAGATTATCGTGTCCACCAACATTGCCGAGACGTCGCTCACCATTGATGGCATCGTCTACGTGGTGGATCCCGGTTTCTCAAAGCAGAAGGTGTACAACCCCCGCATTCGCGTCGAGTCCCTCTTGGTGACACCCATTTCAAAGGCCAGCGCACAGCAGCGCGCTGGTCGTGCAGGCCGCACCCGTCCTGGCAAGTGCTTCCGATTGTACACCGAGACGGCCTTCAAGGGCGATCTTATCGAGCAGACCTACCCCGAAATTCTTCGCTCCAACCTCGGCTCGGTCGTCTTGCAGCTCAAGCAGCTTGGCATTGACGATCTGGTTCATTTCGATTTTATGGATCCCCCGGCGCCAGAGACGCTCATGCGTGCCCTCGAGCTCCTCAACTACCTCGGCGCTCTCAACGACGATGGCGACCTGACTGAGCTTGGTGGCATGATGGCCCAGTTCCCGCTCGATCCTCAGATGGCCAAGATGCTTGTGGATGCTCCCAACCACAAGTGCTTGAACGAGACTCTCAGCATTGTTGCCATGCTTTCAGGTAAAGTGTTTTTTTGTATTGTTTTGAGCATGTGTGCGTCTGGTTTGTGCTTTCAGCGTGGCTGATTCTTCAATTTTTGTGTGGCTGTTGTTGTCGCAGTGCCCAATGTTTTCGTGCGCCCTCGCGATGCCAAGAAGGCTGCCGATGAAGCAAAGATGCGATTTGCTCACATTGACGGCGATCACCTCACTTTGTTGAACGTTTTCCACGCCTACAAGCGCGGTAAGGGTGCAGTTTTCGCGGTTGTGGCGCGGTTGTGGTGTGACTAGTTGGCGCTCGTTTTTTGGCCTCGTCACTCATCTCCACTTGTCCTTGCTGACAGCCGGCTACGACGACGCCAACTGGTGCTACGAGAACTTTTTGAATTCGCGTGCGCTCAAGTCGGCCAACAGCGTGCGCTCGCAGCTGGAGCGCATGTGCGACAAGTTCAAGCTTGACAAGGCTGGCAACGATTTTACGAGCAAGTCGTACTACATCAACATCCGAAAAGTGCTTGTTGTTGGCTACTTTATGCAAGTTGCGCATCTCGAGCGTCAAGGCCATTATCTTACGGTCAAGGACAATCAGGTTTGGCAAAGTTCTTCCTTGTCGTTTTGTGGTTGTTGGAGTTTTTTCGCTTCTGATTGACTCACTGGATGTCATTGTTCGCAGGTCGTCTTCATGCACCCGTCCACCGCGCTCGATCACAAGCCCGAATGGCTGGTGTACAACGAGTTTGTGCTGACCACCAAGAATTACATCCGCACTGTGACGGAGGTCCGGCCAGAGTGGTAAGAGAGCTCGCTCGGAGGCAAAGCTGCTTGCTTGTGATTTCAAGCTGTAAGGTCATTTTTCTCATTTTCTTTTGCGTTCCCGCAGGCTTCTCGAAATCGCGCCTGCATACTACGATCTGTCCAACTTCCCCGAGGGCGACACAAAGCGTATTCTCCAGCGCGTTCAGAGCTCTTCGCGTCCTTCCGGCAGTGGACGAAAGTGAATGTGATTTTCAGGGTCTGAAAGAACAAAATCAATCAAACAAACCAATAAACAAACCAAAAAAATGCACTTTTTGTTCGAAAATTCATGTTGGATTTTTTTTTGTTTTGTTCGATTTGTTGAGAAAAGAGGAGCAAGAAAAACTCGAACGAAAGAGACACGACACATTCACATGCTTGCACAATCAAAGGCATGTGAGACTGAACAGCTACAGCAAAAACAACAGCAACAACAAAAACAAAAAACGATAACGACATCAAATAACAAACCCAAAAGATTGATTCTCATGGTGCTGCAGCTCGGACCAACACCTGAATGACAAATCCTTGTGGTACAGACACGAGGCCAATGACGGTTCGATCGGCAAACTCCTTGCCGCTCATAAAGAAGCGCTGAGATGCCACCGGAATATTCTCTGCAGCCGCGAGGCGGTGCTTGAGCTCGAGCACGGTATCTTGGTCGTTGTAGGGCAGTTTGACGTCTTTCATGGTGGAGAGTCGCAGACGTAGTGTCTTGTCGAGAGTGCGTTGCGTATCCAGCGCAATAGCGTTGGCCGGATCTGGCTGATCGTCCGCCGCGAGGTTTGATGGATCACTCAAGCAGAACAGCGGCACCGTGTACTTGTATCCACGCTCGTCGTACGCGTCTGTCAGTTGGCCTACGAGTTGGCACACGTGATGTTGGTGAGTTGCAATAGTTACATGCTGGATTGGATGGGCGTGGATGGGCTGTGGAGCAAAACAAAAGATGATGAACAAAACAGTCGCAAAATCGATCAAGACATCTGGCTGCGAGTTTGCGTTCCTGCAACACTGCTCGATGTGATGATCATGTCAGTGTTCGTGTTGGTTGGTGGCACATCCGCGATTCCGTCCACAGTGGCACAAAAGAAAAAAAAAAAAGAAGCTTGGGAAAAAGCCTGCTCTTTGTTCGCTCTCTTTTTGAAACCAAAATCTTACCAAGCGGCAGACTGATGCCAGCACCGTCGACGATGGCCTGAGCAAGGGCGTGATCCGAAGTCTCTGCCGCGCCCTTGAGCGCCTGCCAGATCTCGCGCTGGCCGCCAAACTCTGGCGCCGTGCTCCAAAACTCTTCGCGCTTGTGCGCGAGCATGGCCCGGTTTACGTGGACCTCGGCAGCCCACGACGGTGGCTGGCGTTCCAGCGGCTGGTTTCGTCCAAAGACAACTGTAAATGTGTGTGTGTGTGTAGAGGTGTGCGGGGTCGGAATGGGCACAGGGCGAAGTGAGTGAGAGCGAGGCAAAAAGTTGAGCTCGCTGCTTCTTTCGTGCTCAGCCGACAGCCCTCTCAGTTCGATTCAAGAGGTACCAGCGATGGCTCAACAAACAACGCGAGCAGCCAGGCAAGAACACACTCAAGCCACACTCTCAGTACACAAAATCCGCTTCCACTGGATGCCAGCTTCAACATGGACCGGTAGGAGAAGCGAAACCTTATTCACGCTCTTGTCTGTCATCAGATTGTGGCTCACCTTCGCCCTGCCGTGCGGCTGGTGCTCGTCCGCCGGGTATCCCCTGGCGCATCTGGTGCTGCTGGTGCTGCTGCTGTTGCCGCTGTTGCTGGAGCTGCTGCTGCTGCGGGCTGAGCGGGCGCCCGCCGCCGCCGCCTCCGCTACTCCCGCCAAGGCAGTTGCCCATGTGAAAAACGCAGAAAAGTGAAGAGAAGACTGAGAATTGAGGACGCAAAGAAGCGAGACTGATCGCTCTATTGAGTGTCACTCAATGTCTGAATAATCTCGATGATGATGTTGTTTTTTGTGGGTGATCACTTTGATGTTTGAGATGGGTGACAGGACGATGAGAAAAAGTCAATCCGATCGGCAATTTGACAGCATCCAAGCAAGTGCCGTCTGATTCATCCTGAAGTAGAAGAGGAAGCTGCATTGGGTGACTTTTGCACCATGCACACGCGATGGGAGCAGTGGTGTGAGTGGGGGTTGTCTGCAATCGGATTGGCTGTCCATCGCTCCAAAATCCTTCCATTGTTCCCCCGCCGTTCTTCCTTCATGGCTCCTTCACCATTCCCCGTTCTCGATGTCTGTAATATTGTCCTCATCATCATCATCAGCATCAGCATCATCTTCGTGATCATATCAATTCCAAATCCAAAAACCATTCCAAATCCAACAAACCTCACTCCTTGAATCTCACCCGTTCAAAACACCAACCTTCCCAAACAAAATGGCTGCTCCCGCAAAGTTCGCTGACATCTCCAAGGCCGCCAAGGACCTCTTCTCCAAGAACTACAACTTTGGCGACACCAAGCTCGAAGTCAAGACTGCCTCGACCACCGGCACTGTGCGTTCGTAGTTGGAGCTTGAAATGACAATGACGTTTTTTTTTTCTTCTTTTCTTCGCGCTTCTTTTCTATCTTTTGATCGCAAATGCGAGCGTTTTGTCTCCTTTCCAAGTGCTTCTCTGCTCCTTTTGCTGTTTCCCCCCCCCCCACGAGTCGCCTTGTGCGTGACTGGGGAGACAAACAATGCAGCGCGGGGATGAAATGGCAGAAATAAGAGCGAGAAACCGTTTTTTTTCTTTCTTTTTTTCCTGCGTTTCCTCCTGTTCCGGTTGCGCTGCCGTTTTCCGTTTTTTTTTTTGTTTCTTCCTTGCAATGCATGTGCGCTGCATGTGAATGGCACGACCTTCTCTCCTTCTCTCCTTCTCGCCTTTTGCTGCGTCTTCCGTTGGCGTCCCTTTTTTTCTATTTTCTTAATAGGTCACGAACGCCACTGTGAGCCCGTTTTTATTTTTTTTTATTTTTTGGTATTTTTCCTTCTTCTCTTTGTTTTCCGTCCTTCTTCCTCGCTGATTCAAACCATCAAGTCAATCTTCAAAGGCAACGTTCAGTACGAACACCTTCCTGCGCAGTACAACCAACGCAGACAAGCCTCGAACGCAACCCCAACAAAAAAAAAGCGGCACAAAAAAAAAATAAAAAAATATTGGGATCGTTGTTATTTTTTTTTATTCTTTTTTTTTTCCCTTGAATAATAGCTTACTTGTTCTGACTGTCCGTCCGTTGTCCGTTCTCCGTTGTTCTTTGTTCAGGAGTTCACTGCCACCCTCAACAAGGTCAGCAAGACTGGCGCCATCGCCGGCAACCTCGAGACCAAGTGGAAGTATGCCCCCCAGAGTACGTATTTTTTTGAAACACAAAAAACGCCAAGACTTTTTTTTATTTTTTTTTTTATTTTTTCGTTTTTCCATTGGCGCTTCATTGCGCTTTTTTTTTTTCCCCCGGTTGTGACTTTGAGTTGTGCCGCTGGTTGGTCTTGAGCGTTGTTGGTGGTACTGCTGGGGATACGCACTCGTACACCCAATGTTGGGGCATGAGTGAGCAAAGGGACCAGTTTTGGAAACTTGTTTCTTGTTTTTGGTTTTTTTCTTCAGTGTTTCCCTTCTGCTTCTTTTGACCCTGAAGCACAAAGCGTCACTCTTTTCTTCTTGCATTCTTGCACTCTTTCTTGCTTCTCGTCTTCAACGAGCTGCACACTGCAGCGAAGCGTAGTCCTCGAAAAAAGAAAAGAAAATCGGTCCACTGTTGAATTTCCCACAAAAACATTCCTTCCGTTTTGAACTTTGAAAAAATGCTTGTTGTTGTTGTTGCGGTTGTTCTAACCTTGTTTCTCCTGCTCTGTTCTATCTTTGCGCGCAGACATCACCATCACCGAGAAGTGGAACACCCAGAACCAGATCAGCCTCGAGGTCACCTCCGAGGACAAGATCGCCAAGGGCCTGAAGGTCGGCTTTGAGGCTGGCATCTCGCCCAGCTCTGGCAACAAGTCTGCCAAGGTCTCGACTGCCATCAAGCAGGAGCGCTTCCACATCACCGCCGACCTCGACGTCCTCGCTGGCCCCGTCGTCAACACCTCGGCCGTTTTCACCCACAAGGGCTTCCTTGTCGGCTACGACGCTGCCTACAACGTCAACGCGTCCGCCCTCACCAAGAGCAACCTTGCTGCCGGCTACGCCGCCAAGGACTTCACTGTCGTCTCGGTCCTCGACGGTGCCCGCGTCGCCACCTCCCTCTTCCACACTGTCAACCCCGCCGTCCTCGCCGCCGTCCAGTTCTCGTGGAACCGAAACACCAACGAGACCACTGTCGAGCTCGGTGGCCAGTACTCTGTTGACAAGAACACCTTCTTCAAGGGCAAGGTCGACGGCCGTGGCAACCTCGGCCTCTCCTTCACCCAGAGCCTCCGCCCCGGCGTCAAGGCCACCCTCTCTGCCCAGATCGACGGCAACAACCTCAACACTGACGCCCACAAGCTCGGCTTCCACCTCCTCCTTGAGGCTTAAATCAATGGCCGATTTCACTGTGCATGTCTGTCCCCTCCCGCCTTTTGCGTACATTTTGTTGCATGTCTTGGGAAATTTGAGTTGTCGAGTTGTTTTTTGGCATGTAGCATGATGCCCGGTTCTCCCTGCTCTACTGTACTTGCATTTTCTTTGGTTTCTGCCAACCCTATGTATCTGCAATATATTTTTTTCTTCTCTCCGCCCCCCTCCCCCCTTTTTTTTTGATTTGTTTGGTAGTGTCGTTTGTATCTTGTCTGTCACCGACTTTGACTTTGTTGGCTTCAACAACAACAACGACGAAAAGGTCTGCACATTACTTTAGTAATCCTCGCCTCGACTGATAACCTCCTTGCAGGTGGGCCGGAGAAGAATAGTGTGCTCGTACTGGGCCGTGTAGCTGCCTCGGATGTCGCAGAGCGGCGGGTAAGGGTTGACAATGCCAGAGTCGCACAGGGATTTGAGTGCCATGAGATACTTGGTCTCGCCAATGCGGTCGAGGAAGCGTCGGCAAAAGGCCAGCGTGCCGAAATGCTTGTCGATCGTGGAGAGCAGCTGCTTTGCCCGCGGGAGTCGCAGAGGTGTGAAGCCGGCATCAAAGCTCTTCATGTAATGGCTGCACTCCATGTCCTCGTGCACCAGACCCTTGCCAGTGCTGCCAAAGGTTTCGATGGCGTAAAACTCGCCTTCCTCCATCTTGGTCTGCTCGCCGCCGCGCACAATCGGGACGGACTTGCCAGCATGGATGCGGTACTGGTCAATCGAGTGGCCGTACAGGTTGCGGATGCTCTTGATGGGGTAGGTCTTGCCGTCCAGTTCAATTTCGTACGACTCCATCACCTCCTGGATGGCTGCGCCAACATCGCCCAGGCGCACGTCAATACCGGCAGTGCGGATGCCCGTGTTGGTCGCGTCCTTGACAGCAGCGAGCAGCGGGTTGTACTTTTGGTTGAAGGCCACCGTGAAGGCGCAATCCACAATTCGGCCATTGATCTGCGTTCCGAAATCAATCTTGCAGACGTCGTCGTACTGCAAAACAGTCGTGTCGCCGGCATTGGGCGTGTAGTGCGCGGCCACGTGATTCAGCGAGCATCCCGTGGGAAAGGCGATACCGGCGGCCAGTCCGTTTTCCTCGATGAGTGTGCGGACGGAATTTTCAATCTTTTCGCAAATCTCAATCATGGACATTCCCGGCCGCATAAAGCCTTGGGCGTATTTGCGAACCTGCGGGACGCAAGGAGCGCCCCCAAAAATGAGAAAGATGAGAGGGGGGGGGAGTGAGCGGTCAAATTTGTGATGTGAAGCGAAGCACACAACAAATGCACCACGCGGACTCTCACCTGGCGATGGACTTCTGCAGCTTTGCGAATATCGTTGTGGATTTCGTGCCTTGCGCGATCGCGCAGCTTGGCCTCTTCGTTTGTCATGCGCACCAACGAACTGTTGCAAAAACAAAAAATTTCGAAATTTAGCTTGTTTTTCGCGGATTGGTGAGGGTGAACACAACACGTTTCCCATCGAACGAAACGAGGCAGAGAAAGAATAATAAAGCGCACACTCACTCTGCATATGCGCAAATCTCGCCTTCAGGGTACTCGCCCGAAGGGAAGAGTACGCGAACGGGGATTGTCGGCGGTGTCGTTTGAGCTGCCGCACCTGCAAAAAAGGCAACAACGCATCGATGCAGATATCGTCAGCACACAGGGTAGACTGGGAGCTGTTCGTTGTCAAGATTGATCGATGCGTTCGCACCTTCGGTTCCTTGACCCGGAACAATGCCATTCGCAGCCTTCGCCGCGCCCGACTTTTTCTTCTTTTTCTTCTTTTTCTTGTCGGCATCTATGCACGAGATTCGATTGGGAGTCAGTTGCAGAGCGAAGCGACTCAGACGACCGAGCAGATGCGAAATTCTGAGAAATCTCGTCTCTCAATTCACGAGCAGCAGAGATCCAAACGCACCTCCACCGGTCGTAGTGGACGTTGCGCCGTCATCGTCATCGGCATCATCGCCTTCTTCGCCTTCTTGGTTGTCGTTTGAGGCTGCAACTGGATTGGTCTGAGCTGACGAGCTCGCAGCAGAAGCAGCCGCAGCAGCAGTTCCGTCCGTCGCCGCATCTGCCCATGTCACGCAGCAACCAACCCACCAGTACAAAAAGTGAGCCTCTGGCGTTCTTGTGATCATGAGCTGTATGCATGGTGGGACGAGAACCCCCGCGTGGAAAACAACGCACTCTTTGCCTTGCTCGGCTTCTTCTTCTTCTTCTTCTTGGCAGCTGCACCGCTCGCTCCGCCATTCACAGCGTTCGTAGCCTCAGTATCATCGTCATCATCCCGAGCGTCGTCATCGTGATCAGCATGCTCAGGAGCAGCAGTTGAAGAAGAAGAAGATGTAAGATTGTTCTCCTTGGCAGTAATGTCACCGTTGGCCGCGTTCCCTTCCGCCTTATTCATTTCGGAGGTTCGTCTTATGTGAGCTGTCTTGTAAAGTATCCTTGACTTGAAATCAGCCCAACAAAGACAAAAGACTGACTGGCGCAGATGTTTGCCATTTCCAGATTGCTCCTCACTCTTCCATTTCACTTCAAGCTTTAACGACATGCGTTCAGTCGTCGCCTGCATTGCCGTCGCGCTGTGCCTCGCTTCCGTTGCGCTTGCACAGAACCGCATCGACTACGCCCTCGAGTTCAACGGCGAGTGGAACAACCAGACCGGCACGGTAACAAGAAACCAGTCCAAAACCCAACCTCGCTTCTTACCATCCATCCTCACCACGCGTGGACTGACCGGGCACGGAGCTTCGCCGCGAGACCGGGCTGCAATTGGAGTTCATTGCAGCTATTGCAAGCCATTGGCATCCTTGATGAACATGCTCGAACGCTTTTCAAGCTCGTTTTCGATTATTCGTTCGTATCGAATTCGTGACCAACTCTCTGCAATTTTTGGCACAGATCACGTCCAAGGCACTGTCGACCACCATCAAGACGCTCATCGATGCCACTGACGGCTTCACGTCGACCACCAGTACTCTCATTGGTGTCGCAGGTCTGTTGTACTGGACTGAGTGCCGGATGAACAACGAATTTTAACGCAACCCCGAGATACCGATACGAGGTGGTAAAAACTCACATAGGAAGCTCGGACATGTCGTTATTGTCGTTGTTGTGTGCACACACGCTCAGCCATCACGACCGCCAGCATCACCGAGTACAAGACCAACGGCGATGGCACGGCCACCTACCGCCAGACTGGCAACATTACCTTCTTCTCGAACGACCACATGCTCTTCTTTGACGGCTATGGCACTGCCGAGCCGCTCAACACTGACGGTCTGTTCAACGGCGCTGTATGTAACACGTCGAGCTGTTCAAGTGAAATCATTCGTCCCAGTCGCACAGCATTTCTTTTTTTTTTTTTTTTTTTTTTTTGGTTGAAAGGCGGCTGACAAAAAAGTTGTGCTTGTTTGTGCTCGACACAGGCCGTTCTCCGCATCCTCAACGGCGCTGGTGCGTTCTCTGGTGCCAGCGGCTTCCTGACCAACAACCTGTACGATGAGTTTGCTGCGTTGAGAGTCATTCATGGCCGCCGTGATACGTGTTGTCTCATTTTCTGCTGTCTGCCCGTGTTATTTTTGACTGGTAGTGTTGCTCAAGTCGATCCCGACCAAAAGCAAATCCTTTCTTACACCAACCTCCAGGTTTGTGCTTTTCCGCGCGATTCTGATAATCCCTTGCAAGGAATTTCTCAACAACAACTTACGAACTTTGTTTTTGTTTTGTTTTTGGTTTGTTTTCTTCGTGCTACAGGTTGCCCAGGTCTGGATTCCTGGCAACTTGACCATGACTCAGTAAACAGCAGCAAGTCTGGAGGAGACGAGTCCACCTTGTCCACCGTTTCCGAATTGCCTCAGCCGTTTTGGTTGGTGTTCCTTGCCACGTTGTTGTCAATACACACTCTCCCCTCTTGCTACACAAGACGATACAACAGCCGTGCAGGCTCGGTTGCATTGCGCCATCCAAAACACGCTTTTTAAGATGCGAGATTGAAGAGCTAACTTTTTGACCATTCTCACCGCTACTGCCGCCATTGCCGTGATGATTACAATTCCATGACTTGTAATTTTCACTTCTATCATAGTCTCAGCTCCATCATCACTCGACTTTTTTTTTTTTTTTTTTTCTTCAGCTTGGCTTCATGTTCGGCAGCTTGCGCGGGCGCAAGAAGCTCGTCGACGATGAGCACGAAACGAACGTCAAGAACTACATGCGACTGCAGGAAGTGTCTGAAAACCTCCAAAAGTGTAAGCGAGGGTTGTCTGATACGAGTGCATGAGCGAGGAGGACTGAAGGATTGAGATTGAGTGAGATTGAAGAGTCGGAGGTCTGCGTCCCCCAATCGACAGTAGCTGCTTCCCAGCTTGCATTCGCAGCTTGCTTGCCGTATGTGTGTGTGTATGCGGGGATCGGGAGAAGGGGGTCGAGGGCAGTTGTTCGGCTACTGACTTTTTCCAGCCTGATCCCGCAGCGCTCAAGAGCTTCCAGGACTCGATGAAGGCCATCACGCAGTCCCACAATCGGATGGCGGCGTGCGTCGATGAAATGTTCGAGCCGTTCGAGGCGCAGGAGGTCAAGCAGAGCGCCAAGCTCTACGCTGAGGCCTGCCAAGCGCTCGAGCGAACCAACCATGATCTGGTAAATCGTCTTTGCGTCTTTGCTTTGGGAAAGAAGCCAAGTTACTTAGTTGATGGGGGGTATCATGATGGGGTTTTTCGTTTTCCCCGTCGCACAGGAATCGGAAATGCGCATCACCTTGTTCGAGCCAATGACTCTGTTTATGAAGATTTTCCCGATTGTCGACGAGCTCTTGAAAAAGCGAGACCAGAAGCTGATTGAGCTCGAGAAGCGTCGAGAAAAGCTGGGCAAGAATAGCAAGAGCAAAGACCGAGGTTCGAGCCGTGCAGAGCAGGTAATATTGGCACAACGAACAGCAAAGCAAAAACAAACACCGTTTACTATTGTTTGGAAACAAACCGAGCAGTGCACAACCCCAACACCATCGCTGAGCACTGGTTCCTTGTTTTTTTTTCTTCTTATGTTTTGGGTTTACCACAGGCCGAGCGTGCCGTCGCCGAGGCCGAGCGCGAGTACAACGAATTGAACGACAAACTGCGAGCAGGATTGCCCGGGTTCTGCGAGGCACGCACAAGCTACTTTGACGCGTGCTTTGAAGCCCTGGTCAAAATCCAGCTCCAGTGCAGCAAAAACTGCCAGCAGCTGGTGGCAGGCAAGATGGGCGGCGGCTTTTCCAAGACGCAAGCGCTCAGCGACGCAGCGTACGATCAGGACATTCGTGCCAAGCTCGATAGCTTCCTCTCGTTGGCCATCGTCTCGGGCAGCTCCAAGATGCCGCGTTCGGCGCTCGGTGCCAGCTCTATCGCGTCGTCGCAGGCGGCGGCCGCGCTTCCGGCAAGCCCCGTTTCTGCACCGATACCTGCCGCCACCGCCGTTGCATCTGCCGCCGACGAGATGGACGAGCAAGCACCGGCGCAAGATTATGTTGACGAGCAAGCGTCGCAGCCGGAAGCGGCCAGCGAGGAGTAGCGACTGTTTCTTTTTTCCTCTCTTGTGCAGTTTTGATGTTGCCGTCCAATGAATAGAAGTCAAAAACAAAAACAACAAAAGGCCATGAAGAGATCAAATCAATGTATTGTCAGGCGAAAAAAACCCCGCTCGGTGGCACTGCAACAGCATTCTACAAACAAAACGCGCTCAAATGCTCGAAACCAAAAAGCGTTTACGCCGACATGTCAGAGAGAAACGACCTAAAGTTAATCCTGAGCGACGGCAATGACCTTCTCGGCAGTGCAGAGGTGGATGAGGGAGCAGACGACAGCGGGGTCGATGTCGCTGGCAATGGCGTTGACAATCTCGGGGGTGTAGAGGGTGATGAGCGAGTCGCACTCGTTGCGGATGGTGCTGGGGAGCTTGGTGCAGACCTTCTCGACCTCAGCCTCAATCTCGGAGACGGTGCCGTTGGCGACGATCTTCTGGTCGAGCTCCTGTAAAAAAGAGAACAAGTTTGAGAAGGTGTGAGAAAACCAAAATCATCAAAGCCAATGATGCATTGCAAAATCAACAACATCAAACATCAAGGAGAAGAGCAAGAAAAAACCAAAACAAATCATAAAAATAAAAATAAAAAACAAGGTCATGAGAAAGTCATGTGGCTTTTTTTTTTTTTTTTTTTCTGGTTTGTTTTTTTGTTGAGCACCCAAAAAGTCTCCACCATTGCGCAAGAAAACCCTCCACCACAACCCAACCCCAAAGGAGCAAAAAAGAGAGACGGGACATGGCCAGCCCAAAGAGACAAGAGCGAACTTACGCGGATGGCAAACTCGCAGATGGTGCAGGCGACGGAAGCCTCAACCTTGGCGACGGACGAGCAGAGGCCGAGGGTGGAGCAGATCTGGGCCGGGGGGAGCTTCTGGACGAGGAGGGCGATGAGGGTGGGGGTGTAGGTGTTGATGAACGAGTTGCACTCGGAGCGGAGGGTGGAGGGGATGTCAGCGCAGATCTGTTGGGGTTGGGGGAAGCACAAAAACAAAAGTTCATTGGTTAGTAAGCACACGAGAGATAAGGAAAAGGGGTCCACAGCGCATGGAAATTGGTATAAAAATAACACAAACAACCCCTCATGCTTTGGAACTGATGAGGGATTCGTTCAAATTCAAAAAAGAAAAAAAAAAAGAAAAAAAAAAGAAAAAAAATGGGGAAATACACAAGAGCGAGAGAGAAAGGGAACAAGCAAAAGAGCAAGTGGATGCAGTGCGACAAGCGAAAGGCACTCGGACGGAGGGCGCTACGCAATGAGGCACAAAGCAAAGAGATCGAAGAACCAGTAAAAAAAAAAAAAAAAAAAAAAAAATAGAACATATGGCAGTTTTTTTCTTTTTCTTTTGTTCGTTGTTGTTGGGGAAAGTTCTGCTTCAGAGCGAGAGATCCAATTCAGAGAGAGAAAGAGAGAGCAAATGGGATCTTACGCCGTCGAGAAGCTGCTCGATTTGCTGTGTCGTGAATAAAAGTCAAAAGAAGCGCGCAAATGGGAAAGTGAGCAACATTGATCTAGTCACATGTTTTTTTTTTCAATTTTTTTTTTGTTTTTTTCATTTTGAACGTACAGCAGCAGTGGCGTTGGCCTGGAGCTTGGCCTCGACCTTGGTCATGACGAACTCGCAGAGGACGCACTCAGCGGAGCCACCGGCCTTGGGGGCGGGGGCAGCGGCGGCGAAGGCGGCAAAGCCGAGGAGGAGGATGGCGACGAAAGCCTTGTTCATTGTGAATGAAGAGAAAATAAGAAGGAGTGAAGAGTACAAATCGGGATGTCGAGCTCAGACAAAAGGAAATCACACATCAGTCGAGCAGTAATTTTCCACAGAACAGAAAGTCCAAACACCCAATTGCTTTGATGCGCTGTGTTTGGAGGGTGTTCACTCGGAATCGAAACGTTCAACTTTTGAATGTCAGCTGCTTTATGGTTGGTTTGGCTAGCCTGGCTTGGCTTGAGGTTAGCGAGCCAAGTGTGCGCGCTTCAAAATGTACTCATAGATTGTTTTATGGCTTGGACAGGGGGAAATTCGAACGCAGAACAATGTATTATTGTTAAGCTCCTGATTTTGTTTGTGATTCGCAAGTCGAGTGTTTCGAATAATGTAGCATGTAACTTCTCGTTTGTCCTGTTGCAATGTAATACTGATCAGAGTCGAATGTGAACAACAAATGACGGCCTTTCTGAGTTTTTAATCGCAAACCAATCGGCTCGTGCAGTGATTTCCATTGCAAGTCTGGACGCGACGACACCGCTCCTGGTTGGTGCGCTGTTGCTGATTTGTCTGCTGCTGCTGCTGCTGATGCTGCTGATGCTGCTTCGTCTGCTGCTGGTGTGGCGGATGTGGTTGGCGGAACTGATGTTGGCGAAATTGCGAGTCTGAAAATCCGCTGCTCCCTGCGTGTTGTTGTTGTTGTTGTTGCTGCTGCTGCTGCTGCTGTTGTTGGTGGTGATGCGTCGTATAGGAGGACGAACGATATTGACGCTTGTGGCTGTAAAGCGGCTCGCCTTTGCGATGGGTCGCACCCTCAGCAGAACCAGGGTTGGCACCGCCCTGTTTCCTCGACGCTCTGCGCGCTCCACCGCCGCCAAAGTGACCAGAAAACATGTCGCCAAACTGAGAGAACATGTCTCCAAAGTCAAACGTGAAGCCGTTGCCCTGGTGGGATGATGAGTGCGACGAGCGCGGACCGCCTGCCCCACCGAAGTGGAATCCACCTTGAAAGCCGCCACCGCCGGCAGGGCTGGGACCAGCACGGCCATGACCTCCATTTGCACCATCTTCTCCGAACTGATCGTACATTTTCCGCTTTTCGGGGTCGGACAGCACTTCGTAGGCGTGTCCGAGCTTGGCAAACTTGTCTTCGGCATCCGGCTCCTTGTTTTTGTCTGGATGGTACTTGAGCGCCAGTTTGTGAAAGGCCTTCTTGATCTGTCTGTCTGTCGCAGTGCGCGATACTCCGAGAAGCTTGTAGTAGTCCTTTGTATCAAAGCGAGGATCCTTGTTCAGGTTCTTGTTGTTGGTTGTCTGCTGCTTGCTCGAGCCTTTCGGTTGGTGCTTCGCTGAAGGGGATGCTTGAACTGCCGCCATCTGAATGAGCAACAGCAGCATGATGACCATCAATGCCCACGCCATTGTCGTTGCAGGAGCTCGACGTTGTAGTCGAACGCCATCTCGCTTGAGCTCGAGTCGCAGCAATCTGCACACACACACACACACAACACAAAACCCAGCGTTCAGTTCATCGCATTCAAACACACAAAGCCAACGTCTGCGACAAGTTTGAGCTCGTTGGCCGTCAAGTCGCTGCTGAGCTGGCGAATAGGACGAATTGAATGACGCGATTCAAGATTATCTCGAATCACAAAGTCATCACACGACGAGTATGACAATGTGATGAACAAGACCCTTCAAACAGCATCATCATCGCCAACAACACCAACAGCTTGAAAGCGCAGAGAGAAAAAACCCCAAAAGCCAAACCTCATCGCAATTGAATGACAATGGAAGACTGACTTTGACTTGACCGACTCTCGAGCATCACTCATTGAAAGCAATATAATAACAAGAGAATGCATTTCCAAGTTGAGCTCGTACAGTCCAAGTTGAGCAAAGATGGAGCAGCGGCAACGAACGCTGGTGGTGAATGCAGACGACCTCGGGATTGACGCCCAACGCGACCTGGGCATTGCTCAGGCCATCCGCAATGGGGTTGTGCGCAGTGCATCGATGATTGTCAACGGCGCGTCGTCAGAGTCCGCGGCAGAGCTGTTTCGCAGGACGGATTGGCCTGCTCGTGTGAGCATTGGTAAACCGCGCGTTCCATTACATGTGATGGGCGCTTGTATAGCTCGACGATGCATTGGTATAAACCTGCTCATAATTGCTCATTATGGAAGGATGGCGCGGGATTTGGGATGTTGGCAGGGCTCCATCTCAATCTGACCGAGGGACGTACAATTGCAACCCCGTCGCTCGTTCGTGCGCTGCTACACGAGTCAAGCGAGGAGATGCTGGGTAAATTCGGCTTCCGGGATCGGCTCAACGAGCAACTGGATGGTGTCATCCAGGCAACCGCCATCGAGACGCGAGCGCAGGTAACGAAGCGAACTCATCGTTGTCTGCAATTTCCCCAAAATCTTGCATTCTGAGAAAAATGGAAATCCGACAGATTCAGCACTTTGTGATGCTGATGGGCAGCCTGCCATCGCATCTAGATGGGCACCAGCATGTACATACGATTCCCGAGCTGGCTGAAACGATCGCCCAAATTTGCGCGGAAGTTGGCATTACTCGCACCCGCATTCCGAGTGATGTGCGCGCGCATTCGTCGTGATTGATCTTTGAATGAAGATTCTCTCAAACTGCGATCATACTCACAGCATGCTTGTGCCATCATCAACAGAATATGCAAGTGCAGCCGTGGATGGACACGCAAACACCGCGTTACAAATTTCTCTGCATGGTTGCCGAGCAAGGGCGGCGTTCCCGTGCCATATATGCCTCTCATGGTAAGTTTCGAACGCAGCCGATTGCCATGGTAAACTGAAGCCCCCACGCTCAGTCGTCTATCGCAGGTGTCTCGTCAACGACAAGTTTCATCGGGTTGGGATTGATGGGACTGGATTTCACCATTGAGCGGATGTGTGAGCGTCTTGGATCGTGTCCTGATGGAACAATCGAGTGGATGTGTCATCCAGGGCTCAGCTCAACCGAGGGTATAGCTCGTTTGTTGCGCTTTTGACAAACTCGGCGGTCGATCAACACTCTCACTGCACGTCAACGTTTGCTCCAGGCGATGATTTCAACCAGTCACCAGACCGGCCCCTAGAGCTCAAATGGCTGTGCTCTACGCAACTACGCGAGACTCTGAGCGCGGAACGCATCGAGGTTGATAGCTTTCATGTCGTTTGAAAACGCTTCATGGTGTCTTAATTAGTTTCTTACATCCAAAAGGACCGCACGGGTTTTACAAATACTCTACATGAGGTTAAAAGTGCAAAGACAAAAAGGACAAAAGGACACCGGGACCGTACAACAACAACAACAACAACAACAACAACAGCAACCACAACAAGAACGAACAAAACAAACAAACGAAAAAAAAAAACCATTCTTTTCACCCAGTATTGCCAGACCACATGCCCTTCTTTGAGTGCCAGAAGTGGTAAAACCGTGCTTGGCGCAAGCGCTCCACCTCGAAGCCGGCGGACATGACGCGATCAACCATCTCCCAGTCTTCGCCGCCCCATTTGTCGCCAAACTCGCGCGTGTTCATACCACCGATGCGATCAAAGTCTTTCTTGGCCATGGCGAACAAGCCGTACCCCTGTCGCTCCCAGAAGCCGTTCGGCTTCTCGGGAGTGAAGCCACATCCCAATCGCACCACGAGCGGCGCGTAGGCTTGCTTGCCGCTGATCGTGTACTTGCGAATGTCGTCGATCAGCGTTGCGGGCATCTCGAGGTGCAGATCGCAGGTAAAGACGATGGCATCGGGATCGGTAATGGAATCGATGCCCGCTTGCAGGCCGCCTGCGCGTTCAAAGTTGCCAGGCTTGCGGATGAAGGTGAAGCTCTTCATGCGGCTGTTGCGCATCATGGCTTCATAGTCGCCGTCCGTTGACGAATAGTCGACAATCACAAGGTTGAGGTGGTTGTCTCCGGTCTCATCCCAAAGCTCTTCCATGTTTTCGATGAGATGGGCCATCCACGCGACCTGGTTTTTGACCGGGATGACAATGTGCACAGTTGCCTCCTTGTTCCAGGCAAACTGGCGCGGGTAGCACAGTGCACCCCCAGCCGGGCGCAACACGTACTCGGAGATGCGTTCTGGCTTGCCGGGCGAGCTCTTTCGCGTCACATCCACCTCAATGAGGAAGCGAGTGACACCACGGCCGTGGTCGAACTTTCGAACCACGTTGACGATTTGCTTGAGCGTGAAAGGGTCGGCGCGGTCCTGGTTGAGACGCACAATGTAGTCATTGACCACCTGAATGGTAGAGTCAGGGTTGGGTGGAAAGAATGCGCACAACGAAGCGAAATACAAACAAGAACATAAACCACAATGAGTTTCAAAAATCTCAACTATCCATTTAAAAGAACGCATTTTCGACAAGAAGCTGCAAGAAAAAAACCCAAACGTACCGATTGAGCGTCAGCTGCCGGTATGACGAGGTTGGCTCCGTCCAGTCGTTGACCATCGTACAGCTGGGTTTGATCATCCGGGAAGACTTCCGAAAATCCGACACGCGTGATGCCTTCGTAGCGACCCATTTGGCGAGTGACAGTGTAGCTCGGTTTGTAGTCGCACGTACTGAGCGCGCTGCTCAGTTCGCTGGAGGGCACGCGCAGGACGCTGTGAAAATCGGCGCGCGCGTCCATTTTGGGGACAAGAATCGAGTCGATCGGCGTGCCACCAACATGAGAGTGGGAAGGCGGAGCAGATGCGGCACCGTGGTCATGTCCATCGTCAGCCGAGTGAGTTTCAGAGGATTCTGGAGGAGAAAAACAACAAACAAAGACATGAAAACGGAAAACGGAAATCGGAAAACGGAAAACGAAAATTGGGAGATGAGAACGCAACAAAAAAAAAAAAAAAAAAAAAACCTCTCAAAACCCCCCGCATCCAACTGCGACTGCTCGGGAAGAAAACGACAAACACAAACCTTCGTGATGGGCCATCAAAACATCGCCGGGAATGACTTCAAACCTCGGCTGGCCGACAGAGCGCCAGGCAACAGATGCGTGTACACCGCCACCGCCCTGCTTGTGGAAAAACTCCATGTAGTATGGACGATTGGCCTCGAGCTGAACGGGCTCTGATATTTGCGAGGCGTACTTGGTGTACTCGCCTGGATTGGTCCAGATGTCGCCCTCCTGGTCCTCGGGCCGACCGAGGTAGCAGAGCAGGCGTTCGTTCCGCGGGCGAAAGTCTGTGCTGAGCCAAAACTCGGACGTGTCGTCGGACGCGACGGCAAACTCGTAGCGACCCGAGGTCTTTGGGACGAGGTAGCCGAACGCGCGTTGAAAGTACGAGTCGTCCTCAAAGTTGGCCGCCATTGACCTGAGCTTGCGCCGCACGGTCGGGAAATTCGGGAACTGCTTGCTCTGCTTGCCTCGGTAGACCTTTGCGCCACAGGAGCCCTGGAAGATGTGGCTGTTGACCCAGCCCTTGGTCGACTGGGTTGGCGTTGGCGCACGCTCAATCTTGTCCTCTGACGCTTCGTGCTGATGATCGTGCGCTCCTCCTGCTGCTGCCCCTCCAGGCTGCTCACTGCCATGCCGGTCTTTCGATACGGCGGGCTTGAGTGGGATGTCCTTGACGGGAATCAGCTTGCCTCGGCTGGGACGCTCCACGACGACACCACTTCCCGGCTCTTCTGCCGGCTCTTCTGGATCTGGGCCTGGCTCCGGGACGGCCTCTGGCTGGCCCTCTGGCTCGGCGTCGTGATTGTGGTTGTGGTTGTGGTGGGGCTGCTGCTGTTGGTTCTGTTGGTTCTGCGCGTCAGTCGGTCTTTGATAGTACACGACGACTTGATCTGTGGGCGGTCGTCCTGCTTGTGCCAGGGTCGCGTTTCAACAAACCGTTCGTTTGACCAGGGTTTCAAATGTTCAGGGAGAGGAGGGGGAGGGGGTGCGGTGCCACAGCGAGGAGAGTGCATTTTGGTGAGTGACAAACGCAATGCGAAATGTGTCAAAGTGGGCGAGTTGGAGAGCGTTTTTGGTCTTCCCCCCCCCCCGCTTACCGGCATAGGTGAGAAGGTAGATGAGCATCGAAATCAGCGCAAATCCCAGCAATGCGCGCAAGAGCAGGCGCCGATTCATGGTTGGGAAGAGAGCGAGATTGACTTGGAAAAAAGAGAGAAAAGTTAGACTGATCAACCAACTGAACTGCGATGCATTGGTGGAGAAGCTCAGACTAGTAGTGCGTGTATGTTGTCGACGTTCGGAAAAAAAAAGTAAGAGGGAAGCGAAGGTACTGTAGATCGAAAGCGAAAGGAAAACGCGGGGGCTCAGAATCCCAAGCTCTACTGAGACGAGACAGATGCGCGACCTGCTTCCAACAACGGATCATGTTCGATAGATGCTTGTATATCCCACACTTTGCATGTTGAGCCGCGTTGACCTTCCCTCCCTCAGGAGGATTTCGAAGAGCAGTTGATTTCGAGTTTTCATTGCTGCTCACCCCTCTCAGCTCAGCTGTTCTGTACATGAAACCACATCCATTCCACCTTGACCACAGTAGTGAAAACGATTGTTTGAACAATCCTCACTCGATCTAATAAAATCCATGCAATGCAAGTTGAGTTCAGTTCTCGTTCTCAGTTACTTTTTTTCGCTTTCTAATGTCGCAGCAGCAAAAGCACAGCCGCGATTCCGACGAGGATGACATGCCTGGGTAAAAAGCAGCTACAAACACAACTGCTTCCATTGTGATGTGTGTGAAGGGGAGATAGGGGGATAGGGGGGAAGGATGGCTGGGTCGTTTCTGTGCGCCTGACTGCACTGCTCCAGTAGTGCGCTTTGACTTGAGGCCGCCTCACATTTCGACTGATGCGTTGTTGAAAATGCTCGTCCTCTCTCTCTTCAAATCTGCCGAACGAGAGAGCGAACGAGAGAGCGAACGAGAGAGTGAAGAAGAGAGCGAAAGAGTGAGATCTTTGGATTTTTTTTTTCTGTTCCTTGCTAGGACTTTCTTCAGTCGAATAGTTGACTTTTCGTATGTCGATTTGCATTTTTAACCAATCAATCTCCCTACTCTCACTCATGCTCTCGCTTTTTTTTTTTTTTTTTTTTGAACAACACACTCTCTCCTTCTCCTTCTCTTCTCTCTTGTGCTACTCACTCACTCACTGTGCTGCTTGTCGTCCATCTTTGTTGAATTTGCAGAAAGCGCGTCCGACTGGAACACACCGACGGATCGTCGTACTCGGTCAACGTCGACCCACACAACCCGCCGCCGTCGCGCGTCCTGCACGTTCGCAAGCTGCCAGATGGGATTTCGTCGCCGCAGCTGTCGTCAGCCATCTCCGAGCTCGGCGGGGTGGTCAGCTTTGTCATCATGATGCCGCAGAAGCACCAAGCGCTCATCGAGATGGTCAGCGTCTCGGACGCCATGACCGTCATTGCGCACTGCGCCCAGCATCCCGTCTACCTCCAAGGCCAGCAGATCATGTTCAACTACTCCAAGAGCCAGGAGCTCAAGCGCACCTCCGGCGAGCAGCCAGACGAAGGCAACCCGGCCAAGATTCTGCTCTTCACCGTGTTCAATCCAATCTACCCAATCACCTGCGAGGTCTCGCACACATCACCCTCAGCGTACCGCCTCGTCTCTCAGGCACGTCCTCTTCCGCAAAGACGGGCGTCCAGACGCTGGTTGAGTTTGACTCTCCTGCGGACGACACTGGCCGCTCGCCGAGCGATCAACGGCGCCGACATTTACGGCGGCTGCTGCACGCTCAAGATTGATTACTCCGCACACCACCACCTCTCTCAAGGTGCGCCAGAACAACGACGAGTCGTGGGACTACACCGGCGCCGTCCCGCTCGGCCCTCCGGCTGGCGGTCCTCCGCCGCCGCCCGGCGGCCATTCCCAGTACGGCGGTCGCCCAGACGACCGTGGTCGCGACAACCGCGGCCCGCCTCCAAGTGGCGTGTACGACGGTGGTCGCCACTATGGCGGCCCACCGCCCGGCCAGCTTCCGCCGCCCCACCATTACGACGGCGGCCGTGGCGGCTACGACATGGGCCCTCCGCCGCACCACTACAATCCCTCTTCGCCCGACTCGCGCGGCCCTCCGCCGCAGTTTGCTTCCAACAATGGCCCGCAGGGCTCGTCCCCCGTGCTCATGATTTACCACATCAACCCGCAGCGCATGACCTGCCAGAGCCTGTTCAACCTGTTCTGTCTGTACGGCAACGTGTTGCGCGTGCGCATTCTTGCCAACCGAACGGACGCCGCCCTCTTGCAGTTCGACCAAGCGCACGCTGCAGACACTGCGCTCGCCAACCTGAATCGCGCCGTGATTTTCGGAACCTCGCTTGAGGTCACGCACTCGCGCAACACGTACATTGCTGGCGCCGCGACTGCCCCGATTCCCGGATCGCCTGCCACTCTTGTCGACTTTTCCGACTCTCCCCACAATCGGTTTACGAATCAGCGTGCCGCAATGAAAAACCGTAAGCTGATGTTTTCTGCTCAGTCATCATGGGCTTTCGTTAAAAGTGTTGCTCGTCTCATTGTTTGAACCTTCTCACCGTTTGCTTTGCTTTTTTTTTTTTGAAAACTACCCTAGGCATCTCTCCTCCCACGCGCAACGTGCACTTCTTTGGCCTTGGCGTCGGTGCCACTGAGGAGCACATTCGCTCCATTTTCACCCCAGCAGGCATTGAAGAGCCCGAGAGCATCAAGCTTTTCGAGAAAGGTATGCCTGTTTTCTTGTGTGTCGTTTGTTTTGTTGCGCCGGTTGTTTTTCTTTTGTGGTTGCTGACTGCGGACGTCGCTCGCTACAACAGAAAAGGGAGTCTCTGGCTTCATTACCTTCCGAAGCACGCAGGTGGCAACTGAGGCCATCGCGTTGTGCAACCATGCCGAAGTCGATGTGAACGGCTCGCGATTCGTCATCAAGCTGGCATTCTCCCCAGCCAACGAGCGCAGCGAACGTGGTCCTGGTGGCCCTCCGCCGCACGGCAACTTCCCGCCCTATGCCAGCTCTGCACCCCCGCCGCACCACCACCACGCCCATCCACCGCATCATCACGCCCCACCGCACCACTCCGGGCCCCACGATC